CAGACATGTCCATCGACCGAATAAACTCACATGCTACAACGGAAAACTCATCGATACTATGTTTGACATAACTCGACATATAAAGCTGCGACACATTGACTAGAAAATGCGCGCGGCCGACTACGAGAATGTAATCGGCGCGGTGCTCCCGTTAATACAAGCCTCCGAGGCCGGGTTGCCGCCGCAACCGGCACAGCTTAGAAACGGGGCGGTGTTGTATAATTTTCGGGATCAAGCACAAGAAGTTTGTAGATGTATTTGACTTATATATGTTGGTAGATAAATCATATTTGTAGTTAGGTAGGCAGGTAGCTTTCTGAATATATATGAAAGTACTTCAAGCAAGAGACTATTGTCCTAAGTTGTCGGGACAGAATGCTACAAGTCTCTTTAGCAGAGATCCAGAATATATGATTTCGCAATCTGTACTTCCTAAAAATATCATCTCATAGCTGTTAGAAACCTTCATATTTGGTTAAATCTATTGAACTCTTAGCTCAACCTTGAATTGTAAAATAATACCTGATATACAGTTATTACGCTGACTGCATATTCTTATGTTTGAACTTAGGTAGGTAGGTAGGTTCTCAGCAATGGGTTTAAACAGCGAGAATGATTCAATGCATAAGTATATCTACCTAGGTATATATTCAAGTAACCTACAAGACGTACATACTCTAAACCTAGGTAAACTCATATCTTATTTATATATTTATACAGACACATACTCTACAGCCACAACATTCACCAATACTTATAGCAGTCTAGAATTTCGCAAACATTACAATTTTTATTTCTATATAACCGTACTATTTATATTATGCGAAAATACAGGCTCAGTCCTTGTCCGCCCTCATGTATTTATAGAGCGTTAACCAAGGAACCATGCCTCTCTAATATGCTAGGGATATCTCAAATGCCAAAAGGAAAACCAGCCAATTGTTTTAGGTGTCCGACCAAACCTAGCGCCCGCCCGGACACCGTTGAGTCTATGTAAAAGAGAATAATCTTTAAGGGAGAGTGTTATGTGTAAAGAGGAAAAGAACATCATACGTTAACTGTATAGCCTCCTTTTCTCGCCTCTTCTGAAAAAAATGTAATAATTGTTGATGTGTTTTTTTAATGATCTTCGACATCCTCGTCCCGTCCAGGGTACATAATGTCCTGAACAATTACCGCCCTCACATGACTATAGAGGACGAAGAAATACGTGAGCAACAAGCAGATGGACATCGCTGTCGTCACCCATTTCACCGTCTCGTTCCCGAACTCGTTCGAGATTGAAATTGTCGCCAAGATGAAACCGGTGTTAGGGAAGACCATTGCCCACCATCCCAAGTGGAAATATTTAGGGGGCGAGCTTATCACAGCGATCAATGCGATACCGAACCACCAGAGAGACAACGCCCATAGGAAGATAGCTCCAATCATAGCAAAAGTCCTAATCAAGTGTACGTCGATGAACCCGTCCATTTCCCTATCGAAGGTATCGGGAAGACCATTCGCCATACCGATAAAGGCAAGGGCAGTGAAAGCTGGGGGTCCCACGTTCATGAATAGACCAGGTCGGTGCTCGCGGTTAGGAAGACCTATTTCTTTGATTAGCTTTCATTATATCACCTTTAGGTATGCTTTTTTATTAAATTTAAACTACGTACCGGCTGACATTAGACGTCCAATCATATGAGCGTACATCATAATTGCGACGAAGAGTCCCAGGCCTTGACAGCTCATACCAGCAATCAGGATGGGTATGGCCGAGATTTCGGGTTGAGTATCAGAGATGACCGAGGCGATAGTTCCCGACAACATGATAGGGAAGATCGGGAGTATCCATGTTGGCATCATCGTCTGTAAGCCGAAGTTGTGAGCCGCAAACACGAAGCTGTATTGTCCGATAGCCACAATTAGAGTAATAACGACATAGCCCCAGAAAGCGAGCTGAATAGCCCACACGAGCGGTGTATCGTTATCCGGGATGGCATATCGTTGCGTGCTGGTAATAATAGTGGCGATTGATAAGAAGTATGTCGGGAAGAAGAAGCCTTCGCGAGGATGCGATAGAGATTTGTAAAAGTCACCATGATGAAGGAAGAACCGCGATAGCATGGCAAAGGTTAATGTTGTAAACAGGATAAGATTGACGATATACACGAATAAACCGATCTGTCTAAGCCCAGGGAATTGATGCGTCTGGGCAAAGATAAGAAGTGATAATCCACCAGTGCTCATGGGAAGGGTAAACCACGCCCATGTGAAGTGGTGCATTCGCTGGCGGAGTCCAAGCTTCGGTCGTTTTGGATCGTAGATATCTACATGGTCTTGTCCGTGCTCGTGGCTGCCATGTTCTAAGTCGCCGGCGTGGTTCTCCTTACCCTCGAATATCGAGTTGGCAGCAGAACTGGCCTGTGTTCCCGGAAATTGCCCATCGTGTTTCTTCTCGTCTACGGGGTACTGTACCTCTGTCGGGTCCGAGGTGCGAAACGATAGAGATGGTGTTGATGATGTCGGGTAGGAGAGAGTCTCCCGAGAAAGGAGTGTCCGCTCCATTGTGATGAAAACAAATCTTAACAACAAATAGTTCCGTGTCGAAGAGGCAACGGCGAAGAAGAGAAAAGGAGAAAAGAGAACTGTACAGATAAACAAGAACCAGATGAACCAGACCAGAAGAAAAAGGGAAAGTTTCAAGGAAAATATAGGAGAATAAAAACGAAATCAAGTAGAGAATAGAGTACCGGACTCGTCAGAAGAAATGAAATGCGAAATGCGAAATGTTACCCAAATGGAGAAGATCTCGGTATGAACGAGTGACTGGGCAATTACGAAGCCTTTATGAGTAATGGGTACTACAGCCACCCTTGTTAACTCGAGCCAAGAAAGCAGAAAACATCTGGAAGTAGGAAACAGCTAGGAAACAACTAATGATAGAAGACGATGGGCTTTCCCGGGATCCGAATGACACGGCAGGGTCGCGATAAGGTTGATCGTCGAATGAAGGTCGGCCGTCTACGACCGAGCTTCCATTGTGATCTTCAACGCTGCCCGACGAGACATGTCTGTAGGATCCACAGACACTTTTAACCGTACATAGTGTACACCTCCGACGTATAGAGTTATACAAGTTTCTTGGTATACAAGCTCTTGGTAGGTCTTGGTATTTGAGATTCAATCTAACCCAACCAAATAATCAAGTATCTGTTTCCGAAACTTTACACACCCTGTAACCATTAGACGAAGGTGCGAGGAACTATGTACTGACTTACACCACTTACACCATTTACACCACTTATACCACTTACACACTCACACACTTACACATTTACACACACACAATGTCAAGTACGGTACACTAGACGTGTTTAAACCCTTCCTCCACAGAATCCACAAGGCGCTACAGGAAACGGCGATGACTTCAAAAATAGAAGCTATGCCCTGTCTAGCTCTATCATCTGCAACGAGTAAGGAGGGTAAAGGAGAAACAAAATTTTATCACGATATCTCGTTTGGTTATTAGTTAAGACAAGGCGGCGACTTGGCGCAAGGGAGATCGCCCACGGCATGGAGCCTCATGGCACCAAGCCACGACTTTATTGGACCGTAACAACGTCATCCTTGTATATGTTTCTTACTGGACAACGTCAAACATGAAAATGATTGAGGCCGGTGGGCCGTCATCCAAGCAAATTAGATCTAGCGGTCCTGCCCTAGTCCGCTTAGGCATGAGCCTCACACGGAAGATAGATATCGATGCTTGGCGGTGCTCTTGGCTTGTAGGCGCAGTGGGGGTACGTACAAAAAAGGATATAGAAAGGGGGGGGGGCTTGAAAGGGTAACAGGTTTTACATATGTACAGAAGCAGAACCACCCGAAAACACCCGTGGAAGCCAAGACGACATCGCATAGAAAAAAAATAAATAAAAAAATTTGGTTCATCGGTTGGATTCGGCCAAATTTACAATTTGCCAATCTGACAAGTGTCCACGGTCTATAGTCTATAATCTATCATATTCTGTTGTGTTCTATTTAGTTTATTCACCTCTTCTTTTGTACGATGTGGCAAATATTCTACTACTCAATCTAGAATCAGCCCAGCTGAGCCATTGTGGCAGAGAAGCAGAAAAGTGGCATAGTGGCAGAATAAAAAAAAAAAGGTGCACAGATAATGATATACAATTACACTGGACACTATCTGACACTAGCACAGCAGCACAGCATCAGGACGCGCAACTAATAAGCGGACCAATAAGCAAATGAATTAAGCCAAGACTTGATATCCTTTTTTTTTTTTTTTGTCCCTTTCCTTCCTTCTTCCTCTTTGTACCCTTCGATACATAGGTACCTTAGTAACCTTGTAAGTAACGTTATCGGGTCTTACTATTGAAGAAGCGCCTCGTCCGGCACTTGCCAGGCCCATGCTCCCTCCCATGCTCCTTCCCATGCAAATAAGCTCTTACATGGCTAGTAGCAGGGGTACATGGGAGGAAAAAAAAAAGAAGAAAGAAAAATCCAAATTAAGAGGCATTAGCCATGTGGATCAGGCATGTACGCCCAGATATCAAAGCCGCCGCCGTTGTCATCGTCAGGGGTACCCCTGCAATATTCTTCCATTAGAACAGGGGAGCTGTCACATGCGAAACAGACGATATGGATCTCGGAGTGCTTCTTGATACACGTACTAGATATTTTTATCTTTTTTATCTTCTCAAGCTTCATGCTTTATCTAGGTATCTACGGTTATTGATCTACAATGGTATGTCTGATATTGATATTCATATTACACTGTATTGTATTGAATGTATCTATTATTGTGTATATGTGTTTGAGTGTTTGTGTTTGTGTGTGTGTGTTTGAGTGGTTGAGTGTGTATGTCTGTGTAATGAATGGTCTGGAGAGCTTTGTGTTTCCCCAGGACACATGTTTATCACGATACTGAGAAAGAAAACCCGGGCCTTCTTTTCCCTTGTCCTAGGTACACGCTTGTGCTACGGGGTAACCCAATGTTAATTTGACATCTGCTTTGTGTAGGACTCCCAGTCGACGATGCTCCATACCCTCGCGATCCTCCCCTTCTCGAAGCGGTAGGTGACGTGCTCGTAGACGCTGACAGCGCTTCCGTTGGGCTTGACGCCAGCCAACGTGTCGATGGGTGTGCCGGTTATCGCGATCCGTACCGCCACTCGCTGCGTTCGCTCGTCCACGACCATGGTGGAGATACCCAGGCCGAGGTCAGGGATTACTGTGAAGAATTCCTGTACCAGGTCTCGGTAGCCCTCTTCCGTCAGAGTCTTGGTGTTGAAGACCGTCTGCGGGTGAACAAATTTGTGCAGGTCCGTCTCCATTCTTCGCGCCATGATACAATCAAGATACGCCCTATACTTGCTCTCTAGCTCGAGCGCGGATAGTCCCCCGTCGAGAGGGTCTCTTGGCGGATTCTCTTCGGTGATAAGGTCCGGCGTGTACCTTGCATCGGGGTTTGAAAGTTGGCGCTGCATCTCGAGACGATCTGCCACTATCAAAGTCTTGGAAAGCTTCCCTTCTGTAAACCAGTTGAACATTTGCTCCGTGAACGAGATGGTTTTGTCGGGTATGGCGGCATCATCAACTACTCTCGCGGGCTTGAACCTAACGAGGACGGCTGCTGCTATGCACTGTTGAGACTTGTCAACTGCCACAGCATCGATGATAAGCTCGACATCGCCAGTCTTGCTCAGTTCGGCGATATAGTCCCCTGCTATGAAGTCTTGGCCGTCCTTGACGATGTGTGAGTGCATGTATCTTGGCAGTTCCTCCCATCTTCGTTCGTTGATGCACCTCACGATGGATCTGTAGACTATTTCGATATCGGCCATCCTGTTATTCAATTCCTTGATTTGGCTTTACTTCGTTCCCGTTGAAGCCTTTAGGTTGTATAGTATCACTCAATAATGGAGCCTTCTTACGTTCTTACCTAGAGGTACCTAACGTATAAGTTGAAAAAATAGTTGTGCGCCGAGAGAATATGCACCCCCGCAGAAGAAATCACGGATACGATGGAACGTCGAAGAGGCGCACCGATCGGACTGCGGCACCGGATTAAAAGTGCACATTTGATTTCTTGGTCTCCAATCCTACCTCAACTACAAACCTGTAGGTACCTACCTTAGGTACATTATGTAGTTAACAGTTAACTACAATATGTATTGTTCTTCTTTTCCAAGGCATCGCTTAGCTATAGAACCAATAACGATATTATCTTCAATCTCAATATGGTTCATCTTCGAGTTCACGATACTTGGCAAGCTTAGGCTTTGACAAGAGATTGACAATTGCTTAGCGTGACCCTTGTAACCAGGTCCGACGTTATACCAAGACTACGGAGAGGTTCCGATCTTAAAACTCGAAACGTAGGTATTGATTACACCATACCGCTATAGGCAAGGATTATGAACTAAGGATAGGTTGGGCTCGAATAAGCAAATCGTCGGGTAACTATAAATGGCTATACCAAACAGGTCCTCAGCTATATGATAGAGATAAGTATGTATGTACATACCTAACCTGGTACGCCAAGCAATACTACTACTGTTGAGAAACATCTCTTGGACAATCCGGTGCAAAAATAGATGGCGGATATGTCCGTGGACACGGCGGAACTCCCGGGCTTGGTCTTGCCCCCCCCCTATTTTATTATTATTTTTTTCATTTATGCCTGTGTACGGATCTGTAATGTCCTCAACGTTATGCGATTCGACTTGATAGAAGCCTCGCTTAATAATTGTGTAATTCGTCAGGCTGATGGTGAGTTGTTTCTTGGCCGGCAGCTGTATATTAAATAGTTCCGTGCAGAGGCGGTAACAATATAATGCGAGCGAATAATGAAGCCTAATTGGTTTTCAAAAGGTGTGAATGGGTGGCAACTTAATGTTTAGGTCTTGCAGCAAGTCTGGGGGTCACCTCGATGCATGCCTCCTACATTTACATTCTGATACACATCTGCCATGTGGAAAATGATTTTGTATGTGCATACTGCTTTCATTGCCGTGCCTGCATAGACATTGACTATGTCTTGGTATCATACATCTTCCGCAGAATATGTCTAACTTAACCTCTGGATAGGAGAGATCTACATGTTAATCTATTAATTCCAATAACTAAACAACGATTATAGTATAAACCAATTAATAAGGGAACTCGAATATATTCGGTTGGGATGAATATCATCTAACAGTATTGCTACGAACAAGTTGAGCCCCATACCAGGTCTTCCTTCTCCCCCAACGGAATACGCGTATGTATTTTTTATCCCTCAAATTTATATCCAAGACTTCGTCCAAGACATAGAGGCCCACACGTAGATCAAAGATACGGGCGCCTTCTCCTTCGGTAATTGTAGTGTCGCATCTAAGCAACCTGTTCGCTTGGTGAATACCACTGCACCCCCTGAGACTTTTGTCTACCACTGAAGCATTACTATGAAACACGCTTATTCACCTGCGTATATACAATCACTTATACAACTATTACCAGATCTTCATGCCAATGTCTAGCCATCGTGGTAATATTTCGTGATAGACTCGCTTATTCACACCATGGCTCGGCGAGGGAGTATTCTCGGAGTAGCAGATTAGCCACAGATAAACATGCGCGTCTTGGCTAAGCAGATGACGCCGGCTTCATGCCTTCCATTCCTATTTCGTCGGTAGTGTAGATGTCTGACTTCGTAAACTTCATCCAGTCGGTCACTCAGTCACTCCGTCAGCCTGTCTATCGTATGGCGGTGCGCCATAAGCACAAGTTGTCGTACGTGTAAGATCCTATAAACGTTGTTGTTCTAAACACTTATAAAAGTGAATCATCTAGTCGCACAGGATCAGGATTGCTGACATAAAATACCAGACCGCTCCTCTCCGAAAGCTGAATAACAGGTATCCGGCTTGCATACGTGTACGACCCGAGTCCGCCTATAGCGGGCCGGACGGCACGGTAAAGATTGCGTCGACGCTGAGCAACCGGCACCACCTCCCCCACAAAAATTCCTGTTGATATATACACCCGAGGGGCTTCATATTCATGAGTCCATTTCGAGATATAGAAGTTGGTGGTTGTTGTCTTAGATTCCAACACTTGGCCTTGCTTGTGATCATCGGCTAAAAAGACTAGTGTGACGCGACGGGATGTCGTGCATGTATATGCGGACGGCATTCCGCTTACGATCATGCGGAGGCTGGGCAAGGCTTGGGCTACAACTTTTGTCGAATCGCCTCACCTGGGGGCTAATATCCGACTGAGAGAGCACTCACTATCTATCCTTGGCTTCGGATGGCAGTTCTAATGGTCTATGGCTTCGAGTCGTATCATGACAAACTTTTTTACACAACGCATTCATTCGAGTTGCACAAAGGCGTTAAGAACCATCGAGACCATCGAGATGCGAATATCGGAGTCACCGACGAGCTGAGCTCTGCTGTGCCGGGAGTTTCCGACAAGATATGCTCTTATGATGATCTCTCTGGCGATCTCTGCGAAAAGCCTCACGAGATAGACTGGTTGCGACATGCAATATTGATCAGTTGACGGGGCAGATTAGCCGGAGCGACTCCATTTATTGATACGAATGGCAATACAGGAATGAGATGGCAAATTACGGTATGTAAGTAGGTATTATCAAATTATTAACACAGAAGAGGGGGGGTATCAATGCCAAAATCTCCTTTCTCCTTTTGACTCCTAATCAGTTTCTGCCGGCCTCACGCTCTGCGGGTTATGAAATAAATCGTTCGGATCCCATTTCGATTTAATCGACCCCAAAGCATCCAAGTTCGGGCCCCAATACGATGCCTGAGCATCTGTTAATGACGGGTCAACGTACCCTGGATACGTGGTCAAAGCCTGCGAGGAACCGCTCTTGATCGTGGTCATGATGCCGTTCATGAAGTCCTTTGTATTCTGGTTCAAGGTAGGAATACCAATTCCGTATCCTTGAGCAAACATGATCTTGTCTCGGTGTGAATAAGCTGTCGCGTTCATGGGAATATCGCTGATTGCACCGCCAGTAGCGTCGAAGATCAAGAACCAAATAAGCGTGCCTCGTTTCGCGTCGTCGATGTAATTCATAAGTTTAGAGATCGTATCCGAGGATAGTGTCTCATCAGCACGGAAGGCTAAACTCTTAGCAGAAAATGCGACGCGGAGTTCCGACAGCCAGAGAGCAGCGTCCTCTGCCTGCTGAGCGATGACGGCTAGCCAGTCGTCGACAACTACGGATACATTTCCAACAGGAATCTTGTCGGGAATGCCAGTAGCTTTCCACTCTTCTTCGGTGCCGTAGAATGTGGCAGTGATGATAGCACCAAGCTCATGCATGACAAATTCGGTACCAAATCGTCGGTCCAAGTTGGGATCCGAGATGAGATCCTGCCATTGTTGAAATACAGATATCAAGTTGGCGTGCTTGTCAAGGGATAGTGAGAATGAGTACTGCACAATGTTACCAGGCTCAGGGTGCGTCTTGACGACGAACTCGGTGATGACGCCGAAACCTGCACCTGCACCTTTTAATGCCTATTGTTGATGTAAGTGAGTGACACCCAAGTTATATTATGATATACTCACGAAGAAAAGATCGCTATTCTCCTTCTCGTTAGCTCGTTTAATAGAGCCATCTGCGGTGACTACTTCTGCCTCGATAACGTGGTCGAGACATGATCCCCACATGCGAGACGCAGGACCAAGTCCACCCTTGCGACGACAACACTATTAGCAGAGCTTCCTTATAAGGAGAAACTATAGGACTTACAATGGTGGCATGACCGCCAATACCAACTCCGGGACACGTTCCGTGAGCAATGGCTCGCTTGCCGTTGTCGTGGAGCTTATTGGTCACATCAGAGAGCCTAGTACCTCCACCGATGGAAGCCTGCCACGTGTTGGTATCCATAGAAAAGTCTTGAAGATTTACAAGATCGATGACGAGTTCGCCATCTTGTCCTCCAACACCTGTTTCTTGCGTATTAGCTCACTTTCCAAGGCGCGATGTGTTTTCTAGCATTTGCGCATACCGAAATTTCTATACGAGTGTTAGTAAAAACTAATATGGCAAATATGCGATAGCTAGGAGTGCGTGCGCTTACGCATAGGAATGGCCGCCGGACTTCGGCTGGACCTTGACGTTATTCGCAACGGCGCATTTGATAAAATCTGATACATCCTGAGCGTTATACGGCCTCGTTACGGCGATCGGCTCTACCGGAATATCGAGATTATATCGGTTGACCCAAGATACTTGGTAAAGCGGATGGTCCGGAAATGCGACGCAGTCGTTGCGGCCATTGCAGACGGCGTTGAGACAGTCGGAAAGTGGAGTGCTTGGTGTTTGTCCCATTATATCCAAGACAGACGTATACAAGCTAAAGTATGCTTTATTAGGTAGGGAGATGTTTTAGGTGAAAAGAGTGAAGAGGTTTAGCAAGCCTAAGAGCTTAAGGCGTTTTGATCTTTCGAATATGTTGACCCAAAAGAATGACGTTTGTCGAAAGGGGTTTTGAGAAAGCTTGACTCCCGTGTGAGTAAGAGAGAGAGGGCTGTGTTTGTCGACTTGGAAGAAGTTGCAAACAAGATTTCTTCTCTTTTATTATTTAACGGTTTCTTGCATATCAAATTGTTTCCAGGTTTATTACCTTGACTACCCTGTTACCTTCAGTTGCCCCCCCAGATACTACTTGCCCAATAGGGACTCAAGGGAGCTATGACAAGGATCGCGCCCCTCGGCCAAGTCCAGCGCGTTAATTACTTTGATCCAGTCACCGCTTTGTCTTGTTAGTTTTTTAGTGAGACCGCCTCGAATCAATAGGATTCCATCATCATATGTCTTGGTCTTAAGACTTCCTTGGTCTACTTCAACGCCGCTGATGAGCCAATCTAGTCATGAGGTTGCCGGGATTGGATGAAGAATGCCAGTCAGACCAAGCTATCAACCAAGCTATCGACAGCTAAGCAGCCGGGAACCCGCATAACTTTCAGATCTAGTGAATAATAAGCCACATAAGTTCGTCATGCGCTTAAGCCACAGAGAAGAATAGGCTTTATCTTTCGCAATTTAAGGCACTTCGAGATGCAAGTAAGATTGCAGTATGTTTATATTTATTAGAAGTATCGTCCCATATCTTTCGGTGTTTTCTGCATGAAGCCCTAAAAGAGCTCGGTCTCGTCTTGGGGACCAGCGCCAATTTAGCCAATTACAGTTACCGAAAGTCATCGATATATTCTGGGGACGGATCGCATAGCTCTGATTCGCTAAGTTGAGATATGACCTCACATGGGGGTAACGTTGTTCACTTCCAGGGGGTATTAGCAAGTCGACGAGTCCGGCAGTCAAATCCATCATCCTTTTTCATTAAGTTATAGTACTTGCATTGCGGAATTGCCCCTTTTTATGCCCCTTTTTATGTTTCCGTATATTCGTATTCGTTAAAAAAAAATATAGATTGTTCAAGACCCAGTGATTAAAGAAAGGTAGGTATGTACATAGGTATCTATCCCTAAACGACATACTTCAATTGTCCGATATATCGATATATCTTCGGCGCGTCACATAAAAACATATAACGCGGCTTACATAGCTTGCCAAGATGCTTCACGCAGAGCCGCATCTCGGTGTTCACGATCAATGTCTCAGGTATCGGATTGTGTTGCTTTATACATTAAAAAACTGTCATAATGTCTCACTAAACCTTGGGGTCCGTATTGTTATCACGAAGACCCATTGTTAGACAATCAATATCCTGGCACTCTTTACAGGTACCGATAATAAGCGATATATGCATTGTGGGGTACTACATGTACCTATTATCATATCCACAGTGACGTATGTCTGTCATACTTCAGAGAAGTTACTAGAATAATTTTGTATAGATATTAAAAAAAACAAAAGGTTTGGGATAGAAATAATGGGGAAATATTATAATACATATTGTCCTTCTTCGTTCATGAAGAGTTAGAATTATGTATAGGCTATCCTTAAAGATGCCAGGAACCATACCTAACTACCCAATTTTGATTATTTTACGGGAAACATGTTTCTATTTCGCAACTGCATGACCGCAACTGCATACTACCTACCCGAAAGAAGAATGCACATACATAAAATATGGGGTATTACATGTAGTAGTTAACCAAATTTATAAAGCCGAAAGTGAACCGCCTATAGCTTTAAGAAGTAGTTATCTCTAATGTTTGATTATTTAATCTTTCCATCGTACCTCTTGAAGTATAAGTCTATTTATGTATGCACTTTATATACGCACATTCCAGAAAATCCCACATTTACTTCCTTCAACATTCCCATTTTGAATTCTTGACACAACCAACCCGGAAACAACTTATTATAACCAATCGAACCAATCCGAACAATTATACAAAAAAAAAGGACACCGTCAAGATAAGATTCTCCTGGTATCAATTCCTTAATTCCTTAATGGAGTCAGGTCTTGTCAAATAATTGTCAATTTAACCCTATTATCATTCGGGAATTCACTCAACAACTTACACGTTACACCCGTCGATTGCTTCTTTTTTCCGTCAATTCTATATCGCCGTGTCTTTCCTTTTATAAGCGGTGGTACTTGTAACGACTTCGGTAAGCCCTGCTGGTCAGCATACTCGGTATATGTAGTTAGCAGTAGCTAGCGAATCCAACCAATCCAACCAGTCTAGTGACCTTCCCCCGCATCACTAGAAGGAATCTACTACCTAGGTCTAATACCTGAATCTACCTAGGTATAATACCTAAATCCCTAAAAAAAAAAAAAATGCTCAGGCGAGCCGGGCTCCGGAAGCCAATCTCCAAGTCTTCATCCTTGTCTTTAGCCCCTCCCCCACCCTACCTTACCCCTTATTCTACTCGTCTTTCTACTACTCCACCTCCACCCTCACTATGGTTCACGCTATCGTCCCCATCGTTCTCAGTATCCCCGCAGCGGGAATATCGGGTGGATGATCTCCCACACTGTTCCTACTTGTCTCAACTTGCCGGACCTATACCTACTGACCTGTCCATCCCGACTTCATGGACCGAAACTGCACCTGTCGATAGCGCATGCAATCGGTACGGAGGGGAGCCGTTCGGTAAAAACTTGGCTTGTCATGGAGTAACCAATGGGCTCGACCTTCGTGGCTTAAGTGTGTGTCAATTCTATGTTAATAAGACCTCCCACCGTAGCACAAGTTTGTATAATGGTTTTGTTCCTTCAACGAATACTTCCAAGTTTTTACCAGCTGGCGCCAGATCATACAGTACAAAAGCTCTCACACAACACTTTTCTAAGTCTAGAGCAACAATCAGAAATATTCAAAAAGAATCCACCACTTTCACTTTAGACATATTGAAACAGCAACAGTTCCGCACATCTTCTACGTCTAAGCCCGCCATGTACACAGCATCGTTTGCCTTTTTCGAGGCGATATGGGAGGCAGGTGTCACGCACTGCTTCGTCAACCTAGGTTCGGATCATCCCAGCATTATCGAAGCTATGGTAAAAGGACAGAGAGAGGCTAAGGGTAAATTCCCACGTATCATTACATGCCCAAATGAGGTACGTTCGTAGATACCTTAGGTACCTAAATGTACCGTTTGGTAATGCCCATATAATGGAACTGGCTTGCATTTACGCTGCCAATCAAAATACCTGTTAAAGCTAACCCTGCACCAATAGATGGTAGCGATGTCAATGGCCGACGGCTACGCGCGTCTGACGGGTAAGCCACAGTGCGTCATCGTCCACGTCGATGTTGGTACGCAGGGCTTAGGAGCCGCAGTCCATAATGCCAGTACTGGACGCGCACCAGTTCTAATATTTGCGGGCTTAAGTCCTTTCACGCTTGAGGGAGAGATGCGCGGATCGCGAACTGAATATATCCACTGGATTCAGAATGTTCCTAATCAGACCCAGATCATCGGTCAGTACTGTAGATATGCAGAGGAAATCAAGACGGGCAAGAATATCAAGCAGATGGTTAATCGCGCCTTACAATTCGCCACAAGTGCTCCTCAGGGCCCGGTGCATCTGGTGGGCGCGAGAGAAGTGATGGAAGAGGAAATCAACCCGTATTCGCTAGAGCAGAATGTTTGGGACTCGGTTGAGCTGGGTGGTTTGCCGCCAACAGCTCCTCAGCAAATTGCGGAAGCATTACTCGGTGCTGAAAATCCGTTGATTATCACCGGATACGCGGGTCGAAATCATAAAATACCCGGTGCTCTAGTAGAGCTCGCTAACACTGTGAAGGGGTTACGTGTACTTGATACAGGCGGCAGTGATATGAGCTTCCCCGCGTCCCACCCCGCTTGGATCGGCCTTCGATTCGGTATCGACCCATGGATAGAAAAAGCAGACGCGATCGTAATATTGGATTGCGACGTCCCCTGGATTCCGACGTTAAACAAACCGAAAGATGGTACAAAGGTTTTCCACATTGACGTTGACCCCCTGAAGCAGCTCATGCCGCTCTTCTATGTACCGGCTCAGCACCGATATCGCGCGGAACCTCTACTTGCAGTCGAGCAGATAATATCCGAAGCTAAAAGCCAGGCTTCAAGTATCGATACAGCAGTTGCTACGAAGAAATGGGAGGCCCTTCAAGCATCATATAAAGAGCGCCTAGATACCATAGCATCCAATGCAAAGCCAGCCGAGGACGGTTCCTTCGGCACTGGCTATCTCACTAAAACCCTACGATCCTTGTGCCCGCAAGATACGATCTGGGCTATCGAAGCGGTGACAAATACCGCGTTCGTACATGATAATCTTCAGCCGTCGCTACCGGGTTCCTGGATTAACTGCGGTGGAGGTGGCTTAGGATGGTCTGGTGGTGGTGCAATGGGAATTAAATTGGCAACGGACGCAGAAAACGGTGGAAAGGGCAAATTTGTCGTGCAAATCGTGGGCGACGGCACATTCCTATTCTCCGTTCCCGGCAGTGTATACTGGATCGCCAGGCGCTACAATATCCCGGTATTGACCATCGTATTAAATAACAAGGGTGAGTTCCCAGTCATTCCTACAAGAGATTCAAAAGAAAATAACACGTGAGCAAAACTAATCATAATAAACAGGCTGGAACGCCCCTCGAAAGTCGATGCTCCTTGTACATCCGAATGGTCTAGGGTCAACAGCAACGAACGAGGAAATCAACATCTCGTTCGATCCCGTCCCGGATTACGCGGGCATTGCCAAGGCTGCTGCTGGAGGCGACTTGTTCGCGGCAAAGGTTGACAAGGTAGACGACCTCGAACGTACCATCAAAGACGCCATCAAAGCGGTCGAAAGCGGTCAGAGTGCTGTCTTGGACTGCAAGGTCAATCTTGGATCTTAATTTTAGACCTACAGGAATAAGAGCAGTTGCTTCTGCATTGAAAGCTGAGATTAGCATCACGATATGTCACATGGAATACTGAGGACGTAGGTATATACTATGGGCGTGCTGATTAGGCGGGTAGGGAGACCGTGCATTGTTGGGAGTCATAGCTGAAATTGATCCATATAAATTGGTATTCTACAGGAATTATATTGTATTGTTAAGGCATGTTATCCTGGATGATACACACCATCGTGGTATGATTTATCGGTGGTTCGACTGGTTATATGTATGTACGAACCCATCACAAGAAGAAACATGTATATGAGTGGATATATGTATACTACCTATGTATGTGCATGTATGCTGGGACAGTACATATAATAATTTAGTCTTTACATATACCTCTATTTAGGACTTTAGGCACCTAAAGACTATATAGGTAGGTAGCAACTTATCGAGTTTCCGGACTTCATTCTTATTTATATCACGGATTCTATATATATGTACTTATCCTACTTCTAGCTAGCTTAGGTACACCAAGTACCTAATGCATACCTATGTATACTTCGTATCTAACCATTTACTAATGCCTTGCGTATGTAATTGAGGTTTCCTCGCCCTATACGTATAAGCTTTCATTATGTATAGTACTTCGTCAATACGCATGTCAAATACCTAATGCAGGCGTTTTGCTTTTCGTATCGAATAAGGTCGCGTGCCATGCTAGATCCTTAAGATGCAGGTATTAAGGCTTGGGCTACGCTTACACTTCCCCACGGGGAAAGGGACGTGCTTAGGTAGGTTGTCGGTAAGCGAGTTCTTGAAGGATTACAGCGTCGATCCCTTGGAGGTGCTATCCCATGCAAGAAGGGTCCTGCCGCAGGGAGCCGTGTTCTAGCTGACGCTGTAGTGACACGCAAATGGGAGAGTTTATATGGGTGTTTTACCTGAGATGTCACGATTCGGCTTTGTATAGGTAGTTAATACTTAGGTGAAGGGGATGTGAAATTGGTGAGTAGGATTATACTTATTAGTCTCTCTAGTTATATGAAGTCCGACGATGGTTACGCCGCTGTAGCCACGCCGCGCTGATGATTGATGATCTGCGTCTTGGTCTGATCTTTGATAGGTTAGGTCCTGCAGAACGTATATAGGCTGCCGCGGGGTTTACGCTGGAGAGATTATCGATTATCGGTACGTCTGGGGTAATGCCAAGCGTAGCTTAGGCGGAGAGCGCGGAATTATGGTTTGTGATTTACTTTCGTGGGATAGGGGAAGGGGTTATATTGGTTGGTTTGTTCATGTAATAGCATCTGGGGATGTATGGTCGTGGGGAATGGATCACTTGCACCAACCTTTTTGGTAATTAGGTATGGGATTTATATTATCTCCCCCTTGCATGAGTTTTTAGAAATAAAATTGTCAATGTTAAACTGATGGTATCTGATGTGTATTGTTTGGGTTGACTTGTACTAGTAATTCTTGTTACATGGAGATATTAAATTCGGAGACTGCCGGTTCTTTTATTACAATACCTACATATTGAGATGTATATATTGTGTAGGTAAGGTATATATTGTTTCGATATACATGGTCCTTGGCGATACAAGCGATCGAGACTGCATCGTACATCGACTAATCGTTGAAGTGGATATTCCAAACGCCTCCTCAAGTTCTGGACCTTAAATATGCATCTCATGAAAATCTCTTAATATCAGCTGGCCTGTTGCCTGGTAAGTATCTTTTTTATGAAGTCTTTTTTTCTATCATGTCATCTTTATACCTTAGGTAGACTTCAAAAACGAGACGGTGCATGCCGAATGTTACCCTGCCACGCAAGGCCTACCGCTGTCCCTGTCCAGATGTTTCCCAAAAAATTGTAGATCTCTTCTAGTATTATTTTATTTCTTACCCTCTCTTCTGCATTGCACCGTATGTAGGCAACAAACATACATCCCGTACATGTATTCGGGTATTTATTAGAATAAGAGGAAGTTGTATAGATCATAGCCTACCTATTAATTGATAGAGCCGTCAATTGACTCAGGACACGTTATTCGTACCCTTTTAGACGAGAATACTTCCCAATCTCGGGCTATTGGCTCTTTTAATAGCCCATAAGCCTCTTAGGTTAATATATTTTGGAGATGCTGTACCTGCTTTTAGTGCATACGCCACTGGACGACCGCGATTCACATGTAATTCTCTTGCAACACAAGATAAGAAGAAGAATATATCAGCTTGAACGTACCATTCATATCTCGACACGGAGCTTTGTCCTACTAGAGACATGATTCGTCATTGTCTCCTTAACTGGTAATTTGTAAATCATCCTTGTCCTTTGTCATATCTCTACGAAGTTACTCTCAACTATCTTTGTTCGAGCATCACCCATCTATCTTTTTAAACCCCGCCAACTTTAGGACGGTGAGCAACTATCGTATCGTGGATTCAATAATGATAAAACGTGATAACTTTAGTGGGTTGGCGGGGTCCTGCGGTCTTCCAATTCGGGACCACTATGTATTAAATAGGGTCACGGGTCTTTTGAACCTGCAGAAAAACCCCTGTATATCTAAAGCATGTAAGCTGCAAGTGCTAAGTGCTCTTAGACCATTGAGGCACAATTGGGTAGAGAGCCTCTTCCACTATGCATGTATACATATGGAGTTGGTAAGAAATCGAAATGTCCATAATTGAAGGGACTAATTAATATTGAAGTACCTATATGTACAATATATTCAGGCCCGAAATGAAAAAAAAAACCCATTTTGCCCGAGGCTAGAATCTCCTAGCGTGGGAGGGGTTGGGTACAGGTACACAATACCTACGGCTAGGTACTCTATGTACCTATTCCCAGATTTACAGGGGTAAAAAAAGGCCTGGGTTACGACAAAGCGGGAAAGAGGAAAACCTTAAATCGGACAGCTACTTCTCCGAGGTCCATCATTTTTTTTAATCTAGTCCCTCATTTTTATTATAATGGAAATCTGGTCCCTCATCTTAAATGTTTGATTTCTCCATCTTAACCTTAGCCTCTACCGCCACTTATTCCTATTTGGTTTTGTTTGGGTTTGTTTCTGGTTTGCCCGTCACGCGGCTCGTTATTGTACTAGCATAGAACGCATAGAACTCGGACAAATCCGCCTCTCATAGGTCTCCGCCCTGAAGATTGGCCATGCTACTACCGACGATCTTTTAGCTACTGCAACTTATCTTTAATATGGTTCTGCAATACTTACTAAAATAGATCTATTAGATCTTTTAAAGTTCCTGTGGCTGGCAAATTAATTTAGGGTAAATATAGCTCCTAGCTGCTTGACAAGTCAACTGAAAGACCAGGGCGTACAATATATCTTTTGGTGTATTGGTAACTGATGTTGAGCTGCTTACCTCATTATTCTTATGAGAGACCATGAGTCAAGCCACGCGCCGGAGATCAAAATATCACGAGCTTTCTTCAGCTCGATAGCACCCGGTACTATACACTAGCAAGCCCAATCGAACCCCGAACGATAATAGGTTTTGCTGGACCACTTTCTTCAACAGCAATAGATTTGAGCTCATCTTGTACCGCTTAAGGTTGATCTGGCATAGTACTACCTAGTAGTAGTAATAGTTTTAGGTCAACTGTTCAGTTCGAGAGAAGAACGGCGAGTGGGGTTCAAATGGCAAGCGACAATGGCCAGTCGGACGCTTCAGCGTCTCAAGTAGACGAGGACAAAGGAAGTGATAGCGCGACACCGACCTCACCTCCTCCACCTCCCATTCCTTCAGCAGACCCGAAATTGGTATTGCAAGCTCGAACGCCGCCGCCGCTCCATACCGCCCCAAGTCCCTCCTCTCACGACCTTTTTAAATTATCCCCTATTGCGGCTCTTAAACTGCTCAGTGCTAGTGTCGAAGCGCTTGTTCGCATTACAGGCGATATACCTCCGACACCCCCTCCTACGAGCCCAACCATTCCTAATATGCGCAGTATGCAGCGGGAGAAGGCGGAAATAGTTAGGAATCTTTCAGAAAAAAGCCTGGTTCGACTGCGAGAACAAGCCGAAATCCAAGCTCGGGCTCAAGCTCAGATTCAGAATCCCGGGCAGGTGACACCCAACCAGTCCATCGATGGTGTTCACCTTAAGAAGACATCAGCCCCAGGGCTGCCAAGGAGTACCCCAGAGCCGTATATAATCATCGGCGCCAACTCGCAGCCGCTCAATCTTCAACACAGCGCTATTACGCGGAAATTCTTTAGCAAACAGCCTCCGCCGATCAGTATCGAGGATTATCTGTTGCGGATACATCGATTCTGTCCCATGTCAACTGCTGTGTATCTTGCGACGTCGTTTTATATTTTCCGGCTCGCTGTTGAGGAACGGGCTATTGTTGTCACCCGGAGAAATTGTCACCGCTTACTTCTGGCGGGTCTGAGAGTAGCAATGAAAGCTCTTGAGGACTTAAGCTACCCGCACGCTAAGATCGCTCGGGTTGGTGGAGTGAGTGAGATCGAATTAGCGAGGCTAGAAATTAGTTTCTGCTTTTTAACCAGTTTCGAATTGGTGATAGGGGAGGATACTTTGAAGAGCCATTGGGAGACGTTGAAGCAAGGTCATGGCCTTGTGGGCTTCGAACTCGCGCAGTCGGAAGATGATGCGATACCGACTTTAAAACTGGATGCGCCACCAAAAAAAGGGTGAAATCTGGTTTTGAGTAATTACCTCTAGGCAACCTTGCAATATCGCGTTATCGTTATATTAGGGGTGCAGTCCGGAAGAGACCAAAAAAAAAAACCGTCCACCGGCCCAGCCCAACACCTATTTTAACCCGGGTGTCAACTACTGCGCCTCCCTACTTTCGATAACTGGGATATTCTTTTTCGACTCAAAGATATGTTCCTCGCCAATTAGGTTCTCGCCACGATGCAGGGGAACAAGTCGTGTATGTGGCGTCACACATCTGGGATGACCACAAAGTCCCCCCGTAGGGTTCGAATTGAGGTGCTGTCCAAGAGACATTGGTATGCGGCTATCTCGAGGCCATTCAATGTGACTAACCAGCGGGTAAAAGTCGAACTGGTTTTTTGACTTATGAGGGTACCTAAGGGAGGGGTGACGAAGGGGCGTTGCTGCACGACGCGTGCCTACGTGACGCGGGCTTCAGGCAACCAACTTACGCGGGGTTTTCGAATGTAGTCTTCTGTGGAGAGACCGATTCATACACACGATTTCGTGCACTCAGATTAAGGATATCTTGCTACAATATCTGTACCTGAGTTTGGATTAGGGGGTCTCGCAGATATTGGGTAGACGAGACTGATGCAGGGGGCTAAGTGGCGAGAGCCTAACGTAGGGCCTTGGTGATACGGTTTTAGTTATTTTCTATATGCGCATGGGATGTATAAGGGTTGGTTTATATGGGCGGCAGTTGTTCTGAAGCAAATCTTTTTTTTTTTTTGAAGGGCATCATCGAGGAAGGGAGGCATACGTGGAGAACTCGTTCATATGTGATACCCGGATCTTGTTACTCGTACATAGTATATTGAGCATCCTACTTCAGTTAAGGGATTTAATTTTGAGTAAATTTCCAGGACTACATGAATTAGCAGCCTACTAAAGTGTAGGTTACGAAATAGATGTGGCAGCCATTTTTAGTTGACATCAAGGGCAAGTTTACGAGATCCTTGCTTCTTATATGGTTATATTAAGCCATCGGTTTACAGTTTGAAATATAAATGAACCAAAGTATTCCTCGTCTAAAAGATACCATGGTGCATAAGCTTTTAATGAATCGAGCAAGTAAATTTCTCGCTCGGATGATTAATTTATCATACGAAGAGGACCGACTAGCTACCGCCGGAAACCGTGATCAGGGCCTAGCACGGCGAGGCGCGTACTATTATGAAATATGTAGTTGTGATTAGATAACGACGGGAAGACTAGTTCGGGTCCGGCCATGATGGACCGGAAGGATTTATAGTTTGACTTCCCTAATATTCCGATGATAGCCGCGCCGGGCAGTATAGGTAGCGGGTACCTGTTTTACATAGCTAAGATAAGGTGCTTTTGCGATGCTAGAGTTCAAGTATAGCGCACTGTGCTACTTGCACCTGCCTAGCCTGAATGTACAATATGCGCGATACGAGAATATTAAGACAGATACCAGTTTCCCTTGGAATTCTTAGAAGTAGCATAAGAGGTAGTATAAGAGCACGTGTGGTACCGCAGCTCTATACGGATATTCAAACTACCCCGCATTCGCGTTCATATTGCGAAATCATACCACTTAGAACACCTAAATCACCTAAATCACCTAAAGCTTCCTTAGCTTTCGCAACTAGACATATAACAATCGCAGCGCCAGCGAGGTTCACAATGTCTAAGGCGAATATCGATGTCGAGAAAATCTTGAAGGGGAAGTACCCGGCCAAGGCGCATGCGAAGCGCGTGGTTGAATATATTAAGTCCAAAATCCCCGATGCTACCGGTATTCTGTACCTAGAGGGACGATCAGACAAGCTATTGGAAGATAGCGATGAGCCGATTCCTTTCCGGTAAACCTATCCAAATTTCATTTTTCAGGGGGCGATGCTAACCGCGAAAGCTGCGCAGACAACGGAGGGCTTTTATGTACCTGACTGGTGTCGACGTTGCCGACTGCTTTTTTATCTACGATATCGCGACCGAGCACTCGACCCTCTTTATCCCTCCTATAGACCCGGACTCCGTTATCTGGTCTGGCTTGCCATTGTCTCCCGAGGAAGCTCTGTCGACGTACGACGTCGATTCTGTCCTTCCCTCTACCGAGCTCAACCCTACACTAGCTAGGTTAGGAAGCGCGCCTAATGCTACAGTCTTTGCTATCGCCGATCGCGTCTCGGATGCTGTGACTTTCCTAGAGTTTACCGATAAAGATTTCACTGCCCTAGGCGAAGCCATTGACGAGAGCCGTGTTATCAAGGATGAGTACGAGATCGCCCTCATCAAGAAAGCCAATGAGATTAGCACAGTCGCCCACAAGGCCGTCCTCGAAGGGGTGAAAAAGGCCAAGAACGAATATGAATTGGAGGGAGTATTCGTGGGCACGAGTATTTCTCAGGGGGCTAAGAAGCAAGCATACCCCAGCATAGTTGCCAGCGGACGAGCCGCTGCTACTCTACATTATGTGCATAATAACAAAGATCTAATTGGAAAGGATCTGCTACTTTTAGATGCTGGTGCCGAGTGGAGTTGTTATGCTTCTGATATCGTGAGTGGTTAAATGCAACATATTTTTATTGCATTATTAAACATTGATGAAAAGAAGAATGCGTTAGACTAACGATATTTTAGACGAGAACTTTCCCTATTTCCGGAAAATTCACCGAAGAGTCTCGAGCTATTTACGAGATTGTTCTCCAGATGCAAACAGACACCATCGCCGCCCTAAAAGAAGGCGTATCGTGGGATGAAGTCCACCTATTAGCGCATCGAATCGCCATTGACGGCCTACTCTCTCTAGGAGTCTTAAAAGGAGATAGGAAAGAAATTCTCGAAGCTCGGACAAGCACGGCATTCCTCCCTCACGGCCTAGGACACTACCTCGGATTAGATACTCACGACACTGGTGGCCACCCTAATTATTCGGATCCCGACCCGATATTTAGGTACCTGCGAGTCCGGGCGAACCTCCCTGCTGGGAGCGTGATTACTGTCGAACCCGGTGTAAGTGAAATGAATACTTTTGTAAACTTACACTAGACTGACTTGATGATAGATCTACTTCTGCGAGTTTATCATCAGGCCTTACCTAAAAGACCCTAAACATGCCAAATTCATCGACGAGAAGGTGTTGGATAAATACTGGGATGTCGGTGGCGTGAGGTAAGAGAAAACCAGCTGTGGTTACTTTGTTCTATGAGAGAAGAGCTAACCTGAATGAAATAGGATTGAGGATAATTTACTCATCACGAAGGATGGTTCAATCAATCTGACTGATGCAATCAAAGACCCTGACGAGATAGAGAAGATTATTTCCAGCAGCTAAGTAAGGAATAAGACTTATATGAAAAGGGACAAGTAGTTGACGAGTTATGGTACTACCGCTACTTTATGGAGCTCTTTTCTATAACAAATAAAGATATAAATAGAAATATGATACCAAATACTTCTGGTTCTCTAGCATCATCTCTTGCTAACTAATTGCCACTCTTATGAGGTATTCCCACCCCAAACGCCATCCCTCTATCTCTTATTAAATTAGCTCCAGTACAACCCACGTTTTGTCTGACGATATTGACTATAGTCTCGAAACTGTTCTACTATAACTATATGAAATGACTGTCACAGAAACTAGTAACTAAAACATGCTCTCATATATATGTGCTTAGGTACCTCTATCTTCACATCATATTCCCAGTCGATGACTACAGCAGCTCCTATCACACTAACATCTACGAACTCAAAAAGATTTTCCTATTATTATTGACTCTATCCACTATACCTAATACTAAAGCATAGTAGTATCACCAAATTGTCTCGCCAAATCACTTGTAATTCGCCAATACACCAACCAGGATTGTTTCCGTCATCTGCATTGCATCGCACGCCATCCGCACACAACACGGAGGGGTCCCAGCGGTTCGGGATCCTGCCGAAAAGCTTGCATGTGGCTTGCAGACGCCCCCCCCTGCGCTATCGCCATAACGCAATTCTTCCCCCCCACGGCGTGACGCGCGCGAACATGGGTTCGGAGATGTATGCCGGGATCCATCCCGGACGGGAGGCGAAAACGGAGTGTAGGTGTAGGTGGGCGAGAGGAGAAAGGCTTGACTGAATGCTTGATTAAATACAACTGCCGCGACCTTCCTTCTTTAGTTGTTTGACGTCGTGTGGTGTAGTAATACTTACCTACCTGCCTACCTCTTTGCTTACTACCCGTATTCCAATTGCCAGCCAGTACGAAGCTCGATCCTAGCGTATCTAGAAAAGGGAAGGGAAGGAAAGTAGTACGAAAACATGTCGCAGCTAGAGCTGGGCGTGCACGGCGTCACGTTGGTGCCGCAGGGCACGGGGTACGGGCTGCTGATCGGGCTCGGCGTGGCTTTCTGCGCCGTGATCCTCGTCGCTATCAAGATCCAGCGCGCGTACCTGTCCGAGGACTCGGGGACCTCCGAGATGTTCATGGTGGCGAACCGGTCTGTCGGGATCGGGCTCACGGCTTCGGCGGTGTTTTCCTCGTGGATGTGGATCAATGAGACGGTGCTTGCGGCGGCTATGTGTTATCGATTCGGGCTGGCGGTGCCGTTGGTGAGTACTCCTTTTATTTACTTTCTTTCTTATGTGGTTAAGTACCGGTTTTGGCTTGTAGAATATGTTGTATATGGGTAAGAGGGGGTGATGTGGAGATAAGCGTATGCTAACATGGGTGACAATAGTGGTGGGCGACAGGTCTCTGCTTCCAGATCGCGCTGATGGCAGCGCTTGGAGTACTGGCTAAGATACGGGTGCCCTACGCGCATACGTCGCTTGAGATCATCAAGATGCGATATGGCAGGGTTGGACACGTGGTGTTCATCGTGCTGAATCTAACTAACAATGTGTTTGGATGTGCGTCTATGATCCTCACAGGATCGCAGCTTATATACGGTATTTCGGGTATGCATTTCGTCGCGGCTACTGTTCTCATTCCTCTCGGTGGTAAGTCACACTCTTATTATACCCCTTAGAGTTTAACATGGAAAGTGAAGACTAATTTAACTGTCTGGTAGTGGTGCTGTATACCGCTGTAGGTGGCCTTAAAGCTACCTTCCTCACGGATTATATCCATACTACCGTCGCTCTGGTTCTCATCATGTACTTCACATTAAGCATCCTGACCCATGAAGCCATAGGCGGGCTTGGGGGTCTTTACGACAAGGTGATGGCGACGGCAGCCGAGAACTATATACCCGGTAACTTTGAGGGATCACTCCTTACTATGAAATCTAAGGATGCTATCATCTGGGGTTTGATCCTCAAGTTTGGTAACTTGGCTCTTGTGGTTATGGACACGGCTTTCTGGCAAAAGTCCTTTGCTAGCGAGGTTTCTGCCACTGTACCGGGCTATAACCTCGCGGCCATCGCCATCTTCGGAATTCCTTGGGGACTGGGTACTGTTATTGGTTTGGCTGCGCGAGCTATCCACAATACCCCTATCTTCCCGTCTTATCCAGGCCCGTTCACGAGCGCCGAAGTCAATGCTGGACTTGTCATGCCGTACACAGTCAAGGCGTTAATCGGCGACCAGGGTATAGTCGCTTTCTTCGTGCTGTTGTTTATGGCGTTAACATCAACTGTGAGTTCGTCCATGATCGCTGTTAGTTCTATCCTGTCGTTCGACATCTACAAGAATTATATCAATCCCAAGGCAAACGACAAGCGGCTTCTAAAAGTGAGCCATTTGGCCGTGGTAGCACACGCCATCTTCATCACGGGCGTCTCGCTGGCTCTTAACTACGGAGGTGCGGATATGACTTGGATTGGTTACTTCCGTCCTATCCTCTCATGTCCGGGCATCATCCCCTTAGCCTTGACGCTGTGCTGGTCTGGGCAGACGCGTCTCGCTGCTATCCTATCTCCAGTCCTAGGTTTCTTTACTGGACTCGCTATATGGCTAGGTACAGCGCAAGCCTTGTATGGTACTATCGACTTGGCTACGACCGGAGCTGGACTACCGGCATTATACGGAGCATGCGGATCGTTTTTCTCGCCAGCAATCTACTCTGTCCTGATCTCCTTGTATAAACCTTATAAATTCGACTGGCGCGAGTTCCTGCGCATTGAGCTTGCTGACGAATTCCGGATCGACCCCGATAGCGCATCGTCTGCAGAGCAATCGGAAGAATCTTCGATTAGCGATGAGAAGAAAGATATCGGCCAGGAAAATGTCGAAAAACACCCCGCACCTCCTAAACGTGCATACCTATCTCGCGAAGCTCAGGCATCGTCTTCGGAAGAAGTGACTAAAGTGCCATCACACAAACCAGAGCACACTCCTGGCGATACAGAGAAGAGTTCATCTAAAGCCACGATCTCGCCACGAAACAACCCTACCGAAATCCCCCTCGACCAAATTCAACATCCATTCAGCGAGGAAACACTGCGGGAGCTGCGGAGATGGTACCGTATCGCATGGGTCTTCTTCGTCTTCGTTGTACTAGTAACGTTTGTGGCATGGCCTATGCCGCTGTACCGCGATTACATCTTTACGAAGCCGTTTTTCAGCGGGTGGACTACCGTTGCTATTGCTTGGCAGTTCTTCTCGTTCCTTGCTGTCGCGGTGTATCCGCTGTACGATGGTCGTCATGAGATTTCTAAGGGTGCTAGGGGCGTATGGAAAGCTACGAGGGGATATTTTGGGAAACGAGCCTCGGCATAATGTAGAATAGTAAAGCTTTATCTGTAGGCGCATGTTAGGGTTGGAAGAAAAGGGGGATAAATGTTCTGGGCGGCTCTTTCATTTAGATGCGTAGATGACAAGTGTAGATGCTATAGTAAAGGTCGAGCTGTCGAGTTAGACCTAGTTGCCGTGGGTTACTTAAAGAGAACTATACAGTACCTAAATTAAGCGCTAAACAAAGCTGGACACCTCCTATAACGTTCCACACTCCACGTTTGTTTGTCAGAATGTAGACATCGCGTAAATTGCAATAGTGAATTATGGAAATTACTTTATTCAAGACGTCAAGGTCATTATGATAGTATATAGGCACACACGCTTCATATCACACGCAAATTTTGTAGCAACATCTATTTACCTCCCTCGGCGTCCTGGACGTGCCTTCAAGCTCTTCTTCATAAGCACAGACTGTTGCTGCCAAGGCGCACCCGGCTTGTTCGTATTGACATTATACGTAGTATTTGCCGGTATCACTTCCCACTGCATTGTGGAGTTTCCCTGGCGGTACGTGCTCTTCTTCGTTCCCTCTGTGAGATACTCCAAATCCACAACTTGTTTTCCGGTCTTGATGTCCTGGCCTTTGATGGCTCGCTCGAAGAACTCTAGGGAGGCTAAAGGCTGGTAGAAGGGGACCTCGTGACCGCTCTCGTAGATTCGCGTGAAGCTAAACTTGCCGGATTGCTTCACTTGGCCGTGGGTTATGTTGTCGCTCGTGACTATGTCCGTATAGCCGGCCTTCGAGAACCCTGGTGCTGCAACTTCTTCTACCACGGCTTCGCTTCCGAGCCAGTTGCAGTTGTAGTCCGCGTCGCCCGCGTAGATTGCCACGGTTATGTTTTTGGAGATCAGATAGCGGAGGTCTTCGATCGTACCCATCTCCCGGCCGTCGTCTCCGGTACCGTCAAACGCCCGGCCTACGGCATCGCTGGACGCCGAAAAGTTGGTAAAGGCGCCAATTGCGGCTTGCAACTCTGCCGAGTTTAGGTAGTCGCCGTAGAATCCGTATGGGAATGGATCTGGCACGAGCTCCCGCACATCATATTCGTCTCGGCCGAGCACGTTATCGTATACCGATTCGACCATGTTGGCGCAGAAGCTGTCCGCGCTGCTGCAGACGTGGTTCAACCCAGTAGCTTTGCAATCATTCAACCGATCGACGCAGTTCCCGGGTCCGTATAAATTGTTATAGAACATAGACTCTATAGACGCATTGAAGGGCGCATAGTCATAAGTGTTCCCGGGATAGACGGTGAAATTGTAATAGGCTTGGTATTGAAGTATTGGATCGTACCACCCATTACCGATCAAGACTGACTCTAGCTGGATTTCCTTCGCGCCCGGGATCTGCTTGGCGTTCTGCTCTTCGATATACGCATTGAAGACAGGTCCGTAATGACCGCCATAGCTTTCCGTCGCGAAGTGAAACCCGTTTCGCGAGTACTTAGGGAATGCGCCCATGAAACCCTGGAGGGTCTTCCAGAAATTAGGAGCAGCATTGGTAGTCGAATTTGCAGTTAGCGTGAGATTCGGATAGGAATAGGTTCCGCACGAGCCATCAGGCGCATAGTCGGGACATGTAGCGTCTGGCACAGTGACAATATTGCCGTCCGAGTACCAAGCGTTAACGGGTTTAGAATAAGAAAAGCCGACTTGAGTAGGTTGGTCGATGAAGAGTAGATTGCTCACGTTAGACCACGAATAAGGGTTGTTGTAGACCTTGCCGAAGTAATCAACACGACATGGGCCTAGTTCCTCAAAGAGGCCGATCATAGAACTCGAGCCCGGGCCACCATTGATCCAAACGGTTAACGGGGCCTCTGATGGATCTTGGTTACGGGATTCGAAGAACCACCAGAAGATGTGTTCATCCTCTCCCACGTCGGCATATCCCGAGTAACTTTTCACATTGGGGTCTAATTCACACGTCCCCGCGGGCACCTCTTTGTACCGAACTGGAACCTCAGCATAGCCGATGACTTCTTTAAGCGAAGTCGGTGGCGCAACGAACTGAGCTAATCCGTGAGATGCCGCAGCCACGAGCAACAATGGCCGCACGAAGGAAGACATGGTGAAGGCAATTGTCATGACGCGCGTAGGGGGTAGGAAGACAAGAAGAGAAGAGTCGACGAACGCCAAGTCACGATTTATAAGGAATGTTCGGTAACATCTATGATGATCGCCGGGGTACCTGGCTAGCTAAGCTACTACGTAGGCCGGGCATGGGCACGGGTAATGCGCATGGATGAGTCTTACCGGTCTGGGATTTTCTTTTGTTGTCAATGGCTGTTCTAGGTAACGAGCCGTGGTATTGGGCTGACGCCATTGGCGGCGCACCACATCGTATCTGCTATGTTGCGTCGGGGGCCTGCATGCTATACGTTGCCTAGCTTGAATAGGCATGCCATTTGTTTATCTACTATCGTATCGTGCGGGGGTCCCTTAAACGAGGTTGTACTGGCTTAGATGTGGTTAGATGTGGATAGAGGTTGACAGGATTACCCACACGATAACAAGCTCAAAAAGCAGGGAATGTTTTAAAAAAACAAAAGAAAGAAAGAAAAAAATGATAACAGGTTGAACAGCTGTGGAGTATATTATCGAGGAGTATATTATCGAGATCATGCATTGAAAGTCTTCCGGTAATGAGTTATACCTAGGTAATCCTCATGCTTATTTTGTCATTATCCCCCATGCATCTGCTTTCAGACATGTCTCAATAGGTAACTTTACCTCCGACGTCACTTTATTATATCCGTGGCATAGGGGAAGTCCGAGCTTAAAGACACATCGAGATGTGTAAGTACAATAAGATAGTTAGAAGGGAAGAAAGCGGGATTCGAGATCACAATCAGAAAACACACAAAATAAAAACGATATAATAACAATCTAATTTAAAATTAAATTCATGCATAAGTCCCAGGCCCTCATCATCTATCAACACAATCCAAGAGGAAACATCGTTCGTCAAGAATTCATCCAAATCCCCATAATCAAGTTCTTAGCCATCATTATCCTTTTTCACTTGCGTGGACTTCTTTGATAAGAGTATCCCGCCGACATCACTCTCATAAGTAGCCGTATCTAATGAAGGTGTCAACACATGGCGGAGGAGCGGCTGTGATATCACCCTGTAGATGGTTTCACGGGACAGATCGGATAGGAGAAACACATACTAAATCCCAAGTACTCCCTACTCCGGATTTTCCCAATAACCCCATTTCACTAGACCTTATAGTAAGAGAAATAGAAACATGCCCAATATACTAGCTCCCAACACCTTAGCATTGCGTGCCGATTCAAGTATCCTACCTGCTCCAGAAGACCTGGAAGTAGTTGTACTAGTAGTAGTTGTCTGAGAGCTTGAACTTGTCGAACTCTGCTATTTTTATTAGGTATGTCATGCTAAAGTGACAATAAAGTGCAAGAAATAACTTACAGGAGTACCCGCGCTTACAGTAACAGTGACAGTGACAGTACCAGAGTTCGCGCTAGGAGTGCTGGATGTCGTTTTACGGCGACTAGTTGAATTAGCAGCGGCGGTGCTAACTGACCTTGATTCTGTAGTGCTCGTGGTAGTCGACGTGAGAGTTCTAGTTCCGGATCCCGATCCGCTAAGGGTGCTCGTCCTCGTACTTGTAACTGTGGACGTGAAAGTTGTCCCTGGTGGACCTCCATTGCTTGACGTAGACGCGCCCTCTACAGATACAGAAACCAATATCACAGTGTCCACACCGGTTGTTGTCAAGACAGAAATAAACGTCGAATCAGAGCTCGTAATCGTGTTTGTAATAGTAGACGTATAAGTTCTTGTCGTCGATCCTGTCACCGTGTTTGCTCCGGTGTTACTCGGGTTCGTAGAAATTCCCGTGCTTGAGCCGTCTACGGTGTTTGTCCTTGTCCGTGTAAAGGTAGATGTCGCTACACTACCCGGGCTCGTGTAAGTACTTGTGATAGTTGTCGTAAAGGTTCTTGCTTGGGAAACGCCCGAAGTTTCCAGAGTTCCTGCGGTGCTTGTCCTCGTTCTTGTAAAGGTAGATGTTGCCACACTTCCCGAGCTTGTGTACGTACTCGTGACAGTTGTTGTAAAGGTTCTAGTTGGAGAAGGTTCAGGAGTCCCTACAGTACTAGTCCTTGTTCTTGTAAAGGTCGAGGTGTCCACGCCGCCTGAGCTCGTATACGTACTTGTGAGTGTTGTTGTGTAGGTCGTTGGTGAAGTTACTATAGTGCTTGTTCTTGTCCTTACAAACGTAGATGTTACCGTGCTGTCTGAGCTAGTATATGTACTTGTGGCGGTTGTCGTATAGGTTCTCGTTGATACTCCTGAAGTATTTGTTCTAGTCCTTGTAAACGTTGATGTAATCGTGCTACCAGAGTTGGTGTAGGTACTTGTGGCTGTTATTGTATAAGTCTGCGTTGGAGAGGCACTCGATATAATTGTTTCGGTCCTAGTGAATGTAGATGTTATCGTATTACCTGAATTCGTATAGGTACTCGTGATCGTTGTAGTGGATACTCCTATCTCTGATACTAAACTTGATCCCGTTGTAGTATTCGTCCCCGTCAGTGTAAAAGTTGATGTGAAAGTGCTACCAGAGCTTATGTATGTGCTCGTGCCAGCCGATGTGAATGTATTAGTACTTGTAGCCCTGGAAGCCTCTGCTTCTGTTGTTGTGAATGTCGATGTGTATGTTATAGTCTGTGCTCCCGTTAAACTTGTAAATGTCGATATGAGCGTGGTTCCCGAACCAGTAGTCGAGCTTAAACCAGTTAATGTGGAGATAACAGTTGACGTAAAAGTACTTCTTGATATTGTGGGAGTCGAAGTTAAATCCCTTGACGTAGTTGATGTGAGTGTACTTGGTCCAGAAGTAGGCCCACTGCTAATGAATGTGCTAGTAAATGTTGAAGTAAATGTCACTGTACCCTGGCTGGTCCTTGTGCTTGTGAACGTTGAAGTATACACACTCCCAGGATCTAAGATTGTACTGGTGTACGTTGATGTATACGTGCTAGGAAGGGTTGAAGAATATACACTGGTGATCGATGACGTGTAGGTGCTTCCGAGAGTACTGGAAAATGTTGATGTATAGATGCTGGGTGCCGAAGTACTTATGCTATTAGTAAAGCTAGAAGAACTTGATATGCTGTAAGTCAAACTAGAAGAATACGAAGTGCCGAAAGTACTAGTGGATATCGTATTTATATTTGAAACTGAGCTTGGTATAGTAGAAGTCATGCTGGATGGATATGAACTTGTGAAACTACTGGTGCTTGTAAATGAGTATGAACTTGAAAGAGAACTGAAAGAAGTACTCGAGAAGATCGAAGAATAGGTATCCGAATACGAACTAAATACACTACTAGAGTAAGTAGAAGTGTATGAAGTGTAGGTCGAGGTGCCACTAGTGCTTGACCAACTTGATGAGCTCGAAGTTGAAATGGTATTAGTTGTCCACGTGTTGGTGGCTGAGGAGCGGCTCATGTCAGTGTTAGTAAGACTTGAAGAGTACGGAGTCGTACCAGTACTAGTGATTACTGACCCGTATGTGTTCGAGGACCCATTGTCTCCGTCGTAGTCTGAAGGCACTTTTGTAGCTTGATAGCCGCCTCTAGTAGTATACGAAGAGCCATAAGTCTTAAAAATATTAGTCGGTAATTGTTACCGGATGTATTTGGAGCATAGGTAGGTAGATATGGATGTTGAGAGTATGAGAATATGAGATGGGGAGTAGTTAAGGAGGTTAAGGGGTATATATAAGTGTTACTTGCAGTTGTAGACCCAAGGCCATGTGAAGTACATACGCTGACGACAGTGCTATACTTAGTCTATAGTTAGCTTAGGCTTGACTCGATTTAACAGACGACTTTGAGCGTCGTTATAAAAAGATAAGAACTGCAGAGGTGACGTATTGATGGATACTTACAACATCTACCCATATAGTGTCTACTACTGTTTCTGTAATTGTATTTGTGACGACCTATCACAATTTGAAAGTCAGTAAGGAGTTTAACACATAGGTCATGGTTTGATATAAGGCTATAAATTGCATATCAAGCTGATAAGCTGATACAGCTTCAGTAAGAGACTTACCACTGTTGTATAATCTGTTATAGTCGAGTAATCGGTCACGGTTGAGTAGTCTGTTATGGTTGAGGGTGCCCATGTGCTTGTCTGAGTTGTGTAATAGGTGCTGAGATCTGATGAGGTAACGTCCTAACATACATTCGGAGTCAGCAGAGTTTGATCAAAGATTAGTTCTGCTCTATGATAACTATTCATCTCGCATTGGATATCAAAGAAGCCTACTATGAATTGAGAAGCAAATAAAAGAACATTGACTTACAACGCAATTACCGAAGCCGAAGGCGTTATATCCATGATTGAGGAAGCTCTGTATGCCCGAATCTAAGGAATGAAAGCCTCCAAAGCTGTGCCTGCCGTGGAAAGTACCTCCATGATTCAAGTGGTTTTTGATACCGTCGAACATGCCTCGTGTTGAGATTCGTATATGATTTACGGCACCTTGTATGGGGCGACATCCGCACAACTGAGCTATTGTGTCTCGCCTGCCCACTAGCTGCGTTACGAGTGAACCAATGGATTGGTGAAATGGTTTTATAGCTGACTGAATGGACTGGAAATCTCCATCTCGAAGTGATCTGGCCGAGGTAATAGCGGCAGAAGTTGTCTTAATCGTAGATGATAATGACTGGAACGCTGAGTCAAGATGCTCAATAGTGCCGCCATTCCTTACGCTTCGTATCGCGCGGCTTACGGCATGGGTCTGTTGGTTAGCTGAATGGATAGCATTTACGATAGAATTGACTCCATGTGAGCCATGTGCGTTGTTTTGGCCCCCATTATGAGATGCAACAGAACCATGTCCATGATTGTTATTACCAGATCCATGGTTTGAGTTTTTGTTTCCATGTGCCGCATTATCGTGAGTACCGACAAGCCCATTATGATTGCGATTAGTTCCTTCTGAATGATGATTGTTCCCACCACCAGAACCAAATCCATTGACTCCTCCTAAGCGGTTTGCGAATGTAGCCACTATGTAAATAAAGATGGAGATCAGATAGAGGCTATGGAAGGATTTCATTGTGTCGGCCTTCCGAGATGAAATCGGGGAGGGGGATTATGAGAGAAAGAACTGCGTTCTTGATTGTTCTCTCATGGGGGCTCTTAGTTATTAGACCATTGACAAGTAGCAATCTTTGGGTATTAGCTAGAAAAGGGGCACCAGAGCACACCTGGTGGCCTTTTGGTCCTTTAAGACACCTGTATGGACTAACGGAGTAGCACATCTTGAAAAGCGATATGGCGAACACCATTATTGACTCAACCAAAAAACTCTTGAAACGTGGTTGTGAATGCAAAAGGGGTACTGGAAGGGTTGCAGGTGAAGGGTCAGTATCGTCATTCTGGACTTCGGTAATAGATATGGCCTTAAAATGGGGCTATAAAGGAGGGAGGGTGATAGAGATACACGCAATATATTAGTGATGACATTAAAAGAAGTTGATCGGCAATGGGTTATGTCGCCACATATACGATTCATCCATCGGTACTGTCAATTCTCTAGTAAAGGCCAGCTAATAGGGAACTCTAATATCATACAACCTACAATTACGCTTTTGTTAACAATCTAGGGATGTCAAAGCGGTGTGCTTATGAACTTGCCTATATGATCATTATTGCCCAGTGGAAATCTTAAAAGACGACATCCAGATTTTAGTTAAGGCAAATTAATGTATATAATGCGAGCGATGTTTCGGAGTAAGCTTAGCTCTCCATGGCATCTGAAAAGGGGGGCCAGCAATAACGTGGCTGGTCTCATAGACTTTGAGACTTGGAACTTAATCGGTGTTCAAACTTCCGATATTTGCAACCAGTAGACGACCTGTACTATGTGAATCCATGAATAAGGTAAGTAAATCAAGTACGTCTAGGCTATATTGTCCGGATGGGTGTGTAATATATCATCTGAGAGTCAAGAGCGATAGAAAGGAATCGTTCTGCCTAGAATCGGTGCTATCTGGCTGGAGCTATGTACAGTATAATACAAGTTCAACTTATATACCTACTTACCTTATGATTATAAGCTCTATGAATAATAGTACAGTATGATGTCTACTCCGGCTTCCGCCCCCAGACAACTTTGAGTGGAAAGACGGCCCCCTTCTCACTAAGTTCCTTCTCTAAGTCCGCCCTTAGGGTGTCATACCTCTCAACTGAAAAGGGCTGCTTCTCTGGCGGGAAAGCTACGATGGATTATTAGCATAATAGAGTACCTTACCCCTTGATTTAGGGGTAACTAAGGTAAATACTCACTCTTCGCAAATTTTGACAATCCCTCAACTGCAATTCCGCAGCTCCGGACACCGTCTTCGCATAAGCTGTCATCCTTATTTGTCCGGCCCATCTTCAGCACTACTTCCTCCTCGCTGATATCCGTGCATCCCACGCCCTCTAATAAGCCCTTTAGAGTTCCCCCAATCTCCCACGCGGCGCCTACGTGCTTCGCAACACTCTTCATCAGTCGGAGCAGGTCGCTGTACGCAGGCGTGCGCTCATCGCTCACTATCTCGGGCGGGAAGACCATAGTCGCCTCGCAGAGCTGGATCCAGCCGCCGGGTTTGAGAAGGGAGTATAGGTGGGAGATAGAAGGGGCGGGAGCAGGCCCGGCACCGAGTAGGGTTAGACGTTGGTGAACGAGAGAGAATTGGCCATATTGGGATTCAGGCCAAGGTTTTTTTATGTCTTGGACCGTAAATGACACATTTGGGGGAGGAGAAGGAGGAAAGGGGGCGGGGTTGAGGTCTGTGCCGACGAACTCATGCGCGCCGGCAGGTAGGGAAGGGAGAGAGAATGCTAAGTCGAGGAGCCATGTTCCATCCGCAGTACCGCTATCAAGAACCTTAACCGGTTGAGAGAAATCGACGGGTGCGCGAACGAGCTTACCACCCATAGCATCTTTAGCTATGAAATGGTTACTAGCCAAGCGCTTGCGCTCCCCCTGGCTCTCCATCCAATACTCGCTTTTTTGCTTGTCAGCCATATTGCAAGGGGTATGAGAATGAAGAATTCTAGAATGAGTAAAATTCAATAATTACGTCAAGGCCAATAAGTTGGGATGTAGAGATATAAGCTACAAGGGGTCCTTCTATTAACTATTCAAATAATAGCAATGAGACTACCTAAGGTACACTTATGGATATAACGTAATAGTATTGGTGTGTCTATCATCCTTCCGGTCCCTCGGAGTTACCGATCGGTAGCTTTTAGTCTTGGCTCGGCATCATCCATCGGTCGGTATTCACGGTTTGAAATGGGAAAAGAAAAGAAAAGAAAAGAAAAATTAATTGTCTTATACAGAGGGTATGAATTCCTCCAATGTAGTGTATATACAATTTACATCAAGTCCGCGACATGTACAATCAATTACTCTTCTCTTCGTTCTATTGTGACTTTTGCTCTTCTTCTCGTCTCTTCGCAAAGTGCTCCACCATGGCGATGCCGCCGCGTTCATGGAAGAATAGGTCTTGGTACATCACCGTAGCTTCTGCATTCTTCTTTGCACGCGCCCACATGTCAACCTCAAATTTAGCAAGGCGTTCGCTCAATGGCGATGAATCTTGTCCGGTGCCCTCCCCGATAATGGCATGTGCAAGTTCCAATGAGTCTTTCATGGCTACGTTGACACCGACTCCCGCGAACGGGTTCATTAAATGTGCTGCGTCTCCAATAAGTGTGATCCTAGGATGAGATAGGTTAGTTGATATTAATTTTTATACGTAAGATGTTGTGAAGAAATAGTTCCCCTAACCTTGGATTATGTGACCACTGGAAACCAACGGGAAGCATATAGAGTTGCCGTCCTACAGTGTCCGGATCGCTGTCTAGTACTAGCGCCTTCTGCAGGTCGGAATATTCTGGGTAAAGCGCATCGACGACTTGTCTCCGAGCATCTGGATGGGTGGGGTCGATCCCGGACGCCGAGAACCAGTCGACTGGTACACGAGCGAAGGCGTAGAGCTGAACTGTGCCGTCGCCATTACGTTGGCACATGAGCCCCTTGTTTGATCCCAAATTAAGACACATTCCTTGTCCCACGTGTGCGGATAGCTTCGGATGCTTGGCGTCAACGTCTAGGATACGACAGTCTAGGCCTGCGATGCCCGAATAGAAAGGCTCGGTATCGCTGATGCTCGGTCGGACCTTGGACCAAGCCCCGTCAGCACCGACGACGAGGTCGAAGTCGGTTTCTTCATGATTATCGAAAACTAAGGTTAATTTGGAATTCTCCTGAATGAGGATTTTGACAAGTTTAGAGTCAAAATGTACAGTCCCGGGCGCGAGCGAATCTAGGATTAGGTCGCGTAACTGAGCACGGTCGATCTCAGGGCGGTCGGCGAACTCTCCGGGACGACCAGGTTCGCCTCTACTCTCATCCATGAGAACTGTACCATCGTGCGAGAATATGCGTAGAGTCTCGCCCTCCGGTCTGGCAAGCTTCTTGAACTCTTCGAGTAAGCCGGCCTCTTTTAAGGCCAGCTGCCCGGAGTCCGCGTGGAGATCTAAGCAGCCCCCGCGATTCTTCGCATGCCGGTCAACATCTCTTTCAAAGACGTTATATTTGATAGACGCACGTTGCAACAGCTTTGCCAACGTGAGACCGGCCGGGCCAGCTATTCTCATGAATTAGAAAATGATTGATGAATCATAATGATGAATATAAAAAAATCCTCTTACCCCCGATAATTGCAACATTCAGAGTTACCATTACGTCGTTTTAGTTGATCAAGCTATACTCAGTGAGCTTCGGTTTTAGACTCGCACGTGTATATACGAAGGATGAAGGTATACCCAAAAATATAGCATCATTTAATAAGCTGCTGAGCCTCTTAGCCCGGCCGAGTAAATACCTACCTAATTAGTTGATCAGTCGATCGGTCGCCGAAGTCATAGCTAAGTCGGCGCGTTCTAACAGGGACCATAACCCCCCGAAGTTCTAAAAATGGAAAATTACCAACATTGGTAATTGAAGTGTCTAATATTACTTAAAGTAGGTACTTTATACTATTATTGAGCACCTACCAGTAGAGACGACTATACTTAGTAACTATTCGGCTCACTGGAAGCTTGTTGTCGATAAATATGTATATTAGGTTGTAAGATAAGAGAGAACGTAGGTGAAAATATGATTAAAGAATCATTAACACCGAGTGGCGTCGACGTCCACGAGATAGCGATATTAGATGCAAACGACAACCGAAACAACGAGTTCGCCTCGATTATCGTCCGAGCGATCTCGACAGTGCTTGGCGTGAGTGTGGATGAGATCCACTATACCGCAGATACCACTACCTTCATCAAGCTTGGGGGCAACTCACTATCCGCAATTCTCATTTCTGCAGAATGTCAGAGGAAAGGAATTTTGATACCGGCCGGAGTATTCCTGCGGATATCAACCGTGGAAGAGGTCATAACAACAGCTGCGAACTTGGCTCGGCGTATATCAAGACCTATACCTACGATCATAGTGACGGAGGATACTAGCGACGATGTCAACGATGATATCAGCGGAGACGAGGCATCATCCATATATACTGCGATTACGACACCGGACCCGGAGGCGGAAGACTTGTCTCTGTTTAGTTGTGGAAAGGAGGTTATCACAGTAGAAAACCTTCTGAGTAAAATTGATACCACCGAATGGACGGAACCGCAGCTTCTTCTTCTTCGGGAAACCTCTCAAAACCATAAATTAAATATATTGACTATACACGAGTCTTATACGGGCGATTGGAATACCCAAGATGTCTACGATGCGTGGGTAAATACAATTTTAGCGGAACCTATTTTCAAGGACCTCCTTGGCGACTTAGATGTTTTACCACAGCAACTTTTACTCCGAGAGATAATTCGAACCGACAGCGAGGATGATTTCCAGAGAGAGATTCGTCATGCAATTCATGCTACCGGTCCTATATCAAAACTCATAGTCATACAGTCCTCTTCACCTTCGGCGTCGGGGGAAACGGCGAAGTCTACTGCTGTGGTCTGGCGCATACATCATGCGTTCATGGATGGCTACTCTGCCCGGATTTTGCGCGATAAGATTACTCGCACCTTGCGAGGGGAGTTTGGTGTCCCTGTAGGCCCGTCATTTAGGGAGACTGTGCGTTCTCTGGGAGTCTTACGAGAAGAGAGAAGCGAATCTACGAGACGCTTCTGGGATGGTAAACGTGAGCAGTTTCCCACTGCAATCGGCGAGTTACACCTAAGTCCGCAAAGGATAGCTAAGACAGTAGAGGTGCCCCCTCAGAAATCTGTCACAATCCAATTTCCTAGTGAACAACTAGTAGAAGCCGTAACGCGGACGGGATATACCACGACGGTATTCTTCGCCGCAGCATGGGCTCTAACACTTGGCAAGTTTATGGATGCAGACCAAATCTGCTTCGGAATGGTGTTCTCAGGGCGCGATTTACCGATTCCTGGAGCTTTTGATGTCGTTGGACCTCTAATTAACATCCTACCGCTATTCGTACAAGTGCCAGCCAAAGGTGATAAAACCTCTATCGAAACGTTTCTACGGCGGATTCATGATGACATCCTCGACTTAAACAATTTCCAACATTCGGACACTACAGAGGGATTTGACAGGAAGTTCCACTCTATTATGGCTACGCAGTTCGAATGCGACGAAGAGGAGGTCCCAAACACGATGCCGGTGGATCGAAACCGCCCCGATATGCAGTCCGGAGTTCCTCTGAACATCGTTATTGAAGAAGAATGCAGATTGCAGATGCTGTATTCAACCTCTCACTTTACAGACGAAGACATAAACAATCTACAGTCTGTATTCCAAAACAGCATGAATTATCTTCTATTAGGAAACGACGCGAGTCTACTAGTATCGAGCGTAAATGACGCGCTTCTACCGCAGGATATGGAGAAGTCGATCAGAGACTGGAGTAACTGCGCTTCATCAGAGACCTTGGACGAATCCAAGGGAGATGATCTAGTAACGCTCTTCGAAAACGTCGTGGCGAGACAACCTAACGACTTGGCAATCATTCACGGCGAACTCGAGGTAACTTATGACGACTTAGACCAAGCGGCCGCCGCTGTTGCGCGTAAATTAAGTTGGATCGAACCCAACGAGGCCGTTTGCGTGTATGCCGATCGATCGGTAAACTGGCTCGTCGCGATATTCGGCGTGCTAAAGGCAGGCGGAGTGTACGCCCCGTTGGATCCCTCAGCGCCAATGTCCGTGCGGCAGGCGAATTTCATTCGGAGCGGGGCGCGCGCCGTGCTTGTTCCCTCAGGAACTACATCTCAGTGCGTCGTTTCGTCTCGACAGGAAGAGGATAGTATAGCTCCGTTTCAATGTCTGATATTAGGCGTTGATGATCTGCTCGCGTCGGCAGGCAGCGCCCAGTCACGCAATAGTTTCTCGGTATATTATCCGAGGAGGCGTATTGCCCGCCCGGATGATCTCGCTTATATCTGCTTCACGTCTGGATCGACCGGTCAACCCAAAGCTGTACAATGTACTCATAAGGGCTTAGTGGCTTTTCAAAAGGACCGAACTGTTCGTCTAGGGGCTTCGAAAGGCGTCGTGGTTGCCCAGATAATGTCTCCCGTCTTTGACGGCAGCATACATGAAATATTTTCTGCATTGACACATGGCGCCACGTTGCGATTGGCGTCGCCCGATCATCAGGGAGACCCTTTTTCGCATTTACGGGATAGTGATGCGGCTATTCTGACTCCTTCTATCGCCAAGGCACTTGATCCTAATCAGTATCCTCGGTTGAAAAATGTATGTACCTAGGTAGATATATTATGTCTTTAACTAAACAAAAAACTAATGCTTCTCTAGGTCTACCTCGTCGGTGAAGCCGTTCCCCAGTCCCTTTGTGAGACGTGGACTAAGGACCGCTCACTGTACAACATGTACGGACCAACTGAAGCGACTTGTGGCGCGACGATCAAGCAACTATTCCCGAACGAAGTCGTCTCCCTCGGTCGGCCGAACCGGTCGAGCAGAGTGTACATTCTCGATCGTAATCTTAGTCTACTCCCACCCGGCGCAGTTGGCGAGTTGTACATTGCAGGAATACAAGTATCACATGGATATATCAAGCTACCAGAGCAGAATGCGAGCCGCTTCCTAGAGGACTCGGTCATGCCCGAGACCGGTCAGAAGATGTATAGGACTGGCGATTATGCTTACTGGAATAGCGCGACTGGGGAGGTATGCATCCTCGGACGTAAGGACCGGCAGATCAAGTTAAATGGCTTTAGACTGGACCTCGATGACTTAGAAGCACGAGTCGTAAAGGCCATCCCTGGATGTGGCGGTGCTGCTATTTTCCGTCGCGACGATCATCTGATAGCAGCGTATCAAACTACTTCGCCTAATGAAGTCAGCGCATTAGATGTAAAGGCGTTTGTTGGAAATGCTTTACCCCCTTATGCTATGCCCCGGAGGATTGTCGCATTTGAAGAGTTCCCTCTTACCGCGGCGGGCAAGCTTGATTACAAGACGATTGAAAAATCCATCAATGCGAGTCTTGCGGATGCTGCTGTCGAGCTGCTGCCTCAGATGAGGAGTATGAGCGTAACTGAGAAAACAGTCATAGATGCCGTCCGCGACTTAATGAAACTCGACTCGAGTGTACCTGTAGATCAAGACTCAAATCTCACGGAGCTTGGTTGCCATTCCATCTTGCAGCTACAATTAGCGAGTCGAATATCGGCACTCATTCAGCGGCACTTTCCGGTACGAAAAGTCATCGAGAATCTTGTAGTATCACGTCTGGCATCTGCTATTGATGATGCACTCAGGGAAGAAAGTGTACTTGATCTTGCCGTTTCAGGACAACTATCGAGTCTTGTTTCTGGCAGTACAAATGCCCTCGGAGAAAGCGAGGTATCTCCTATCGAACGTGATTGGTTTTCGAAATATCAGCGAAACCTTGGGACATCGTCGTTTAACGTATCCCACGCCTCGGAGTTGGACGCGTCCTTTGATCAGCATCAGACATTGGTATCAGCTTGGAATATAGTACTTGCAAGACATGATATTTTGCGCTGTAGATTTAACCAATCGGTCGATGGTAGTGTGGAAAGGTCATATGCAGCCGAGTCCCCCATGGCTGTATACATTGAGTATTTCGATGTCCGAGCTGCGATCAATAAGGAATTCTTACTTGAGACGGAGGACCCTATCCGAGTACTGGTCTCGAAACGCCACATGCTAGTTTGTGTGAGCCATATCATATGCGACTATACAACTCTCGACCGTTTATTTGAGGAGCTTGCGGCGGTATATTTCAATGTTGATAGTGAAGAATTATCCTTAGCCCCTCAGAAACGATACCAGGACACGACTTGTTGGAATCTCGACGTCGATCAAGCCACGGCCAATTTCTGGAAGTCGTACCTATCCGGCGTCGATCTTACGGGAATGCCACCATATATGAAAAAGCCTCGTACTTCATACCACGGCGAATCGCTACTATTTCGACTCTCAAATGACACGATGTCAAGTCTTTACACAGTCTCGCGATCGCTACGTCTTACACTACATCAGATTGCTCTGGCAGTCGTGTCCATAGTACTTCAGATCGATAACCCGACAAAGCAGGACTTGTTCCTCGGCAGCCCTTACCTCGGGCGACAAGAGGATGACATGCGTACCATCGGACTATTTCTACAACCGCTGCCGATTCGTATCCGGAGACAGTCAGACCAAGACGGGGGTGATTTCAAGGATGCCTCTTTAACAACTTTCCTCCTGGCTGTACAAGAATCTTCGCGTTTAGCTCTCGGCCATGCTGTTGAGTGGGGTTCTCTAATGAATATCCTTGCATCTTCGGACGACGAGAAGTTACGAGCAGCTGCGGCTATAGCAATTCCCAACAATCCGCTGTTCGACGCCATGGTAACTTTTCATGAGTTTGATACTACTGGAAAATCGTCGTCTTCCATTATCCCCGGCATCCAGCCGTTAGTGAACTGGGCTGAGGGCGCCAAGTTCGGCATTATGTTTGAATTCTCGGCTATTAGCTTGTCATCAGTAACACTCCGCGTCGAGTACGATACGTCGCTGTTTTCATCAGATGAGGTGCGGTTATTCGTTGCGCGGATCGATGCTGGGTTTAAATATTTCTGTGAGAGCCCGGCTTCTATTAAACTTGGAGAATTGGAAGGTAAACTTTTAGATGTTGAAATTGAACGTTTATCTGGCGGGATTGAGAGTGTGGAATTTGGTACCCCTATTGCGGTTTTAGCATAGTACATAGGGGTAGTTCACGGGGGTTGATCAGGCTTGATTGCTAAGGCGTTAGGGGCTATGATTGAACCCATTTTACAGAAAGGGCGTGATACCATTTTTTTCATATTTTGGGGCTCGGGGACATAATTGATTTTTATTAGTTTAGGTATCTTTTTATATTTTGCAGTTTAGTCTTTATTTTACTTCTTCTGTCAATATTAATCTTACAATTTCCCACTAACATCTTATTCGTTTACAATAACACGAATATTGAAAGCGAAAAAGTTCATAGTGATCATGTTTTGAATAACATTATATTTCAATAAGAATGATATTTCTAGTACTTCAAGCAGTCGTCCTACGTCTAACCCAGATCATCTGCTCCATATCCGGTCCTGTCTTCTCATCCTTGACCCAATTCTTCGGTCTCTCCTTCTGCCCTTCCGGAAATTTGAACTCATAGTTGATCAATAGTAAGCATAGCACAAGTTTGATCTGTGCACTCGCATACCACCGCCCCGGACAAGCCTGCCGCCCAGCTCCAAACCACGAGTCACCGGCTGCCACAGAGCTGAACAAGTTCGCCGTGTCGATATCTGCGCCAGTTTCAGTAGACGGCGCGTAGAACCTGAGCGGTCGGAACTCGAGAGGTGACTCGTATAGTGCTGGGTCGCGCGATCGGGCATCAGAAGCGGCGCAGATATGAGTGCCTGCCGGGATGGTGAATCCATTCGATAGGGTGATCGGTGCCAATACGAGACGCTGGAATGAGACAATGCCAGCAGAATTGATGCGGCCGCTCTCTTTAAGAAAGCTCTCCATCTTGCGCAGTCTGAGTAGTGAAGTTTCAGTCCAGCCATTCGCATCAATCTCCTCAAGTGCCTCAGCACGTAGCTCCTCCATGAACTCCGGATGAGCGCAAATGTCGTAGAGGATGTGGATTGCGGTGATGGCACTTGTGTGCATTGAAGACACAATAAGGAAAAGAATTTTCAAGGCGATAGCGTCGGGTCGGGCGTCTTCGCCCTCAGCGGCCTCGGAGAGCCAACGTACGAAATCTTTTGGTTGATCATCGAACTCGGCTCCCTTCTTCTCTCCGATATGCTGCTGACGGCCTTGAATGACGGGGGCTAAGAGTTTCGTCACCTGGGCAATATCGGCACGAAGTTTCCGGCCGCATTGAAGAGTGTACTGTGTAATGGGACGCAGAGTGGGTGAGATACGCCTCATGGTCATGGAAAAGATGGCCACAGACGCGGTGAAGCCCATGATAGTCTCAAGCCATACTGGGTCTCTGGATATGGCGGGGTCATCGATAACCCTGCGGGAGGTAATTTGGCCAATTGCAGCAAAAATAATAGAAGAAGCCTTGATGGGAGTGAAACCTAGTGATATGTTAGTATATTGATAGTAGTGACATTTACTCAGCGCTTTTGATGAGAGTAAGTGAGAAGTACCTTTTGAGTTACACTGGCTGAGAATATTTTCCAGAGCTAAATCTGCTTCTTCTTTCATCTGCGGCAACAGGTTCCCTAATTTGTTGCTTATTAGTATATTTCATTTCCGTCTCAGAGGATGCGAAACAGTATTACCTATGTTTTTGGTCAATTGATGCCTCACGATATCGCGATGGATATTCGTTCCTCGGACGGCATCGAGCTTGGTGTATTTCCCCATAAACCGATCTAGGAGCTCTTCCTTAAAGCTAATCCGGTTGTCCGGCAGGTTCTTTAGCTCCTCGATAAACTTATCCGGGACTACGAGACGCTCGTTGTCGCATGTTTGGATGACATACGGAGTGTCTTTGTGCTATATAATTCTCTCAGTTGACAAGAAATGATTAAGAGCCAAATTTGGAGAGATGTCTTAAACGAACCTGTTCATAACCCTCCTCTAGTAACTGCTGTCCACGGGCATAGAATTCATCTTTAGCAGCTTGAAGCCGCAGATCGAATAAACCCGGATCAATCCCAACTCGTGGTAGTCCCTTGAATCGTCTTCTCGATGATATCCTCTCTCCCACCCAGGCCGCGAACAACACACCCACTAAAGCAATGACAATGGAGCTAGCCGACAACATACCAACCTATTATCTTCTTATTGAAGTACTGTAATATTATATTGGCTGATTCTATGATTAATGCAGTCTTATGGTGCTCTCGTATAACACATTGAACAAGAATGAGTATCACGGCACAGATTGAATTGACACTGCTAGCAACTCTTCCTTAAGCTTTACGTGGCAAGTCTCTGTAATCTATCATGGTCGTTATTGTAAAAATGTATCAATTGAAGGATCAATCCGGTAGTCAATAACATCCTTACCTTCATAGGACGATACAGGCCTCATACGATTCACTCACCTCACACGCCGATGCACCGATCAATTGCTCGTCTGATTCGGCGTAGTCGGTATCACCGCTATGATTAAGTAACAATACATTTCCGTACACATCTCAATTGCATGCGCGCGGGCGCATTTGCATCTATATTCGGCAATCGGTGACCGAAGGAATCGGCTAATGCAACGAAGGAATATGATAGCGGCGTCCGGGATCGTTACCCCTACTAGTATCACGGACTATACTATTCATACTAACTTTCTATCTTCATCCGAGATATGTATTAGCATGCGTGGACTAGATTTACAACACGATTCCGACCAACATATTATTAGTGACGCTCATCACTCAAAGACAAGCTCCTCCCTCATAAGGATATTCAATACATTTCAACTCATTATTCTATCAGAAGAACAACAACGTTAAAAAGCCACAAAAAAAACCAAACTTATATATACCATCGTCACAATGGTCTTCCGTGTGTACATGCTCGCTGCCAAGGCACCCGGCATCACCCTCGAAGAATTCAAGGACCACTGGGATAACAAGCACCTCAACCTGCTTAAGGAAATTGCCGGAGACGCCTACCCCGACGTCCACGTCCACCGCTACCCAGAAAAGGTCCAGGGCCCTGCGGAAGCCCACTACGATGGCATCGGCTACCTAGAATTCAAGGACAGGGCGGGATTCTTGAGGTTAAAGGAGATTGCGGAGAAGCCGGAGAACCAGGCAAGGTTGGATAAGGATGAGAGGACATTTTTGGATAAGACTAAGATCCAAATGTACGTGGTGGATGATGAGGAATGAGGGAAATTTTGTAGTCTCACAAATATGTATGATGAATGTTGAGGAAATGAATATCAAAGACATGCATAGTGTAATTTTCTCCTTCTTCCTGTGAGTCGCGCAAAATTCAGTGGGATGAGATCGAAAATGTTTGGAGTTGCCATAGTTCTGATAACTTCGTATTTCAGCACAGTAGCGTTCTAGGAATTCTGATCATGAAGATGAAGTAAAATTTTATAAAATGCAAATATTGGCGTAAAACATCAATGTGAGAACTATTGTGGAGTTCTAGTTTATATATACAGGATATAAATATGATATAACAAGATTGAAATGCCTACCCCTAATCAGTTCCCCGTCCCCATAGCCTAAATCTGCTAGTTTCCCCTTTACTGAGCCTGAGGATATTCATTTTGGGAATATCGATTCTGAGCGTACTGATGCTGGACATATTGCTCCGGGAGACCTTGTGGCTTTCCACTGGGATGATACTGGTTCGTAGCGGTGTAATTATACGTTGGCCACTGGTTTTCAGCCAACTTCGTCGTTGAGCCCATATTCTCCATAGGGATATGGTCCATGGGGTTCGCCTCGATATCTACCGAGTACTCAACCTTGCGCGAGATACTTCCGCTCTTGTCACTCTTGGTGCTGCCGAGACGCATCCATGTCGGCCTTAAAGCTGAGCCTTCGGAGCCGCTGGCAGGGCGCCATGTTGAGAAGGAAATGAGTCTAAGAAAGGGAATCTTGAAGATTCTCTGGAGCGCCGCGGGCATGACGGGGAGACACGCATTGATAATTCCGAGGTTTATCTCGAGTCCGGACCATAGGGCGTCTTCGACGACCGTCATGGTGAAGTTCAATTTTGCTTCCGGGGTGGAGAAGTGGACTACGTTGTACGTACGCCATGCAGTAGCGAAGCAAACACTGAAGATATCGTTAGTTTCATCGATAATAAAATGTGAGCAGATGATATTAGCACTTACAAGATACCAAGGCCGAAGACGATAGTCAAGGCGATCTTCTTACGCGAGTTCAACTGCAGCGTCCAAAGCATGGGCATCGGAAGAACTAGTATGCACACATCAAGGATGAGGTTGAAGATGGAGCTCAGGAGAAACTTCATGCTCAAGTTACCGCAGTGTTGCAGAGCTACAGGGCCGATCTCCCAATTGTACTTGATCGGTCTGCAGATAGCGAAGAAAGTTATGGTGCAGCCGGCCAGGTACGCGACAGCGCATCCCTCAAAGAAGTAGACTACCATGCGGAACTTCTTCACAGAGAAGACCTGCGCGATGAAGTCGAGAATAGACAACCGCACGAAGGTGTTAGCCCATGCTTGCAGAAGCCATGCTATGACGAGCGACTGGAGATGAAGTTAATTAATGTTGGACAAGAAATATAAAGGGGTTGATATAATTTACCTTTTGTGTAAGTGTACGCTGCGGAGGAGCCACTCGTACAAGCGGGAAACCAACGCCGCCCTGTTCAGCCACTATGCACACCAGTTAGTCGATCGATCGTTCGCAAAGGGGGCGAAAAAAGGGAGTCTTGTTTTCATTTTACCTAGCCAGCAGATAGAAAGATATCCCGTCGAAAAGACGGCAGCAACAATGATAGCATAGTCTGTAAATCGAAGCGAGATCTTCTTTATGCGCTTCGCCCACAGTCGAAGGCCGATACATATTATCGCCAAGATGAAGAATGTGGTGATAGGCGCTACCAAAAGCACAGCTCTTGGAGGCAGCGATTCTTTCGCCGGGTCGATGAACGGCCCTGTTGGGACCAGCGGGACCGCTGGTGACGCGCCTGGCGTGGTACCTGCTGGGCTGCTCATCGTGTAGTAGAGCGATAGGGAACAGACGCGGGAATAGAGCAAACGAACGGCTCGGACGAACTGGATATGGTGAGGGGAAACAAGGCCAGTGTATAACACAGTAATTGGATCAGAGGAGTTGGGGATACTTGGATAGATATTCTTCGAACCCCTCAGCAATTACCTGTAGGCGTCAGCCATCTCCATGTAGGAAGGCATGCCATTATTGCACTAATAGAGCGTCCGTATACGGATCAGTGAACAATATTGATACGCTTAAAGTGACTATGCATGGTTCTAGATCTGCTTCACATATTCCTACGGTCCTGGCTGCAAGGCCGTTGTTACAGTACTTTGTACCCTGCCAAACGTATCAAGTATATACCTAGTGCCCTCGTGGAATTTACTATTAGGCTAGGTAGTTCAATACTATTAATAGACTTAACCGCTGAAAGTTGAACTTTCGTCGTGAGGTAAGGCTATGTATGCCCTACGTAGTATTCGACTTATTAGCGTAAGGGGTTTAAGTAGCATTTTGCTTCCGCATTTTACTATGATAACGTAGCATTGCCGAAGCAGATGGGAACAATTGAACCCTTACCACGTTTTGTACAGCTTCCTATGTAGGCGTGACAGGAACATGTGGGTGGCTCGATTGATATACTAGTTTATTGAAGGATGTCTAGAGTTAAAGATGATACATATCGCTGCTTTTAAAGTTGACTTTTCGTTTGAATGTGAGATATGATATAAGTGAGACTTTTTGCTTTTTCTTTTACTCCCTTTTTTGTTGTTGTCTTATTCATCATTTAGCCTGTCCTGTGTAACCTCAAGACCAATCTTAAGACTTTCTTTTTCGTAGATATACAAATCACCTTCTTCGAATCCAGGTTTCGGGTCACAAGGTTCCTGTAATGTTCTTGCTTTCTGTTACATTATTTCAAGTTGCGTTATATTCGTAAACGGACGCAACGGTTTATGTTGGTCTTTGATCCTCCGCTGTATTCCTCGTCGGATCACGTTCTGTACTAGGAAAAGGTTGAAGCAATTGTAGATCTTGGCGGTGGCTAAGTTGGGCAGGTCGAGCGGCAAGAGACCGGGGTGACGGACGAATTCCGGGTATGATATCACCACGTGGTTTTCCGTGAAATATATCTGTGTACGGATCCGTACATACTACCCAGGGCCTGCAAGTAACGGTTGTACCATGCAAAGCATAACGCTCAGACCGTGGAGGATGGATGGTGGAGGGGTATGAATTATTTTGATTGGTAGCCTCGCAACACCTGAGGATATTAAACTCCCGTATTGTTTTATTGTAATTATTGTACGGAACATAGTTTTCTTTTTTTGTTTGCTTACCAATTGATTAGAATATGTCCCACTTACATATACTTCGGTTAGTTATTTTTTGTCAATTTATTACTTTAATGCCATGAAAGGATTATATAATTCCTACCGAGCTATATCGCATTTAAGTTACAAGAGATAATGCAGAATTGAGGCGAAGCAAGTACCCTTTTGGAGATTTAGATCTAGTGGCTAGTTCTTGAAACCCCGCAGATCAAGTATTACTCTTATGGTGACATTCGCTACGAAAAGGATCACCAATCGGTCCTTTCGTTCAGCCTCATAAAAGCGGGACTATATTATTTTCTATTTACTGCCAAGCTTGTTGGCTTATTACTTTATAGCTTTGTTAACACGTGCTATTAAAATTTAACAGTAAAATAGTCGATTACTTAACCTTCATTTATACCTACACGTACATTAAGTATTTAAATTAACCTAAACACGCATTTAATGTGCATTAATACTTACCTATTTGAGCTAAATTACGTTAAACTTTAAATAAGCTTAATTAATCCTTTGGGACTTTAACCTTTTTTTTTTTTTATTTTTTTATTTTTATATGTAATTATCATTTGTAATGTGAATCCGTTGCCACAAAACGCATAAGTTACATTTAATAAAACAATTTAACTTATTAAATAATATAAATGTAAATATAATTTTTAAAATTTTACATAATTATTTTAAATATTAATAAATATTATAAGATTTATTTAAATATTATTATTTTTTATAATAATAATATTATAAGTTTTTATATTAATATATAAAAATGTATAAATAGTTATTTTTATAAATAAAATATTAATATATAAGTAAAAATAAACGGTAAAAATTTACCGTATTTATATTAACATATTATTATTAATTAAAATATTTAAAAGTAAAAAATAATTTAAAACTTAAAAAAGTATAAAAATTATTACAAAATTTTTTATAAACCATAATAATATTATAATAAACATTTATAAACGTATAGTAAAAATGAGCGATAAAATAAATATGAAATTTAATAATATAAATAAAAATATAAAAAAAAGGTATATAATAGTAATAAATATATTACGTAAAATATAAAAATATATACAATTATTAAATAATATTTTCTAGTAAATATAATAAAATTTCTTATTAATAAAAATATTATTATTATTATTATTATTATTAATATTATTTTAAAAACTTATAATAAACTTAAATATTGAAAATTTTAACGTTATTAAATTAAATATATTTAAATCGGTATTTAAAAATTTAATAAACAAATAAAAATTATTAAATAGTAAAATTAATTTTTATTAAATAAATATATATAATATTATATATAATATTTAAAAATATAAAGTAAAATTAATGTGGTTAAAAGTAATATTTAAAGTTAAAAGTAAAATATTTGCAAAATGTAAAATAAAAAATAAAATTATTTTACTATTTAATTTAAAATTAATATAAGCAAATAATTATATATTTAATAAATTAAGTAAAATATAAAATCGATTAAAAATAGCTTTAATGTTATATAAATTATAGCTAATATAAATATTAATAAAATTATTAAAAGATTTTTAATAAATTATAATATAAATAAAAAATATATAATTTAATTGGGTTATATTTATAAAAACTATATTATAAATCTTAATTAATTATTATATATTATATAATTTATTATTTTTATTTATAATAATATTATTAAGTTAAAATAAAAGTTTAGTTAATTTTATATAATGTGTTTGCGAAATTTTTTATTATTTATTAATAAATAATAAAAGTATATATTAAATATATAAAATATTAATTAATGTGTTATAAATATATATTATAAATTAAGAGGCCTGCGGCTTAAAAAGTAGGCCAAGCGTTGGGCGTACGGGCTTTAAAAGTAGGAATAACCTTAAGGTTATATGCCTGGTATGTAATTTTTTCGAGGCGTTTTTTACGGTTTTTTTTAAGTTTAAGGAGTAAGGTTTCTTTAAAACTTTGGGAGTTTCGGGGAGTATATATTAATGATTTTAGTATATAAATATTTTTATAATTTTTTAGATTTTAGATAGAATTATTAGTAGTTAATTTAAATTATATTAGGAAGTTTATTAATTTATAACCTTTTGGATTATAATATTAATATTATTATTTTAAAATTAAGTTTTAATTTTATAATATTTTAATTATTTTTTAATTAATATTAAAAATTTAATTTAAGTATAAAAAATTGGAATAAATTATTTTTTTTATATTTTTTTTTATATTAATAATAATAAAGTTTAATCTAAATTTTTATTTTTTTTAAATTTATTAGAAGTGTTTACGGAATTTTTTAAAAGAAAAATTAATTAATTTGTAGATAAATTAATTAATATATTTAGTATTAATAATATGGTTTAAATAATAAGAAATTTAATTTTTATAAATATTATATAAAATATTATTAATTAATTTTAGAATTGAATTAATGTTTTTAAAAATTAGGTTATAAATAGTATGGTAATTAGAGGAATTAAGAATATAGCTTTTTTGGGTATTAGATCGATATTTGAATTATTATTTAAAAAATATTAATTTTAAGTATTAAAATTTTATAATAAGAATTTTAATTTTAAAAAGTTTATTATTTAAAGTTTAATTTATTTTAAATTTTATAAAGTTATTTTAATAATTTTGAAATAGTAAATATTAGTTATTAAAAATTAATTAATAAAGAATGTATTAAAATAATTTTATTTTTTATTTTAGGATTAATTAGAATATTTAAATAAAAACGAATAAATAATTAAAATTTAAAAATTATTTAATTTATTTAATAAATTTAAAAAATAAATTAAAAAAATATTTAAAAATTTAAATTATAAATAAATTGTTAAAAGAAAATTATTAAATTTAAAATAAATAAAGTTAATTTTTTAATATATAATAAAATTTAAAAAATTATTATTATAAACGGATATAAATTAAAAAGAAGTATTTATAATTTATTATTAAAGATTTAAAGAAAGAGTTTAAAATAAGGTTTATTTTAAAAATAAATTTGATATATTTAAAACCTATTATAAAATAGTTATTAAAATTAATAATTATTAATATTAATATAAATAAGTAAAGAGAAAAAAGGGAAGATAATAGAATATATATATTGGGAAAAAAAAAAATAAGATAGGAAAAACTATTAGTATATTATATAGAATATATTTTAGCTTTATAAATATTAGTTAGATATGTATTAATAAAAAGGATATTAATTATATAAAATATTTTAATTGTAGAAAAAAAGGATATTATAAAAGTTAATATAAAAGTTTTTTACAATTTGGAAAAATTTCTAAATTAATAAAATAAAGGGTAGGTTTTAAAATAAAAAGAATAAAAATTAAAATAATTAAATAAAAAAAAAATATAACATATAGGGACTTTTATTAAAATATATATTATAATAATTTTTACTTTATATATATATTTGATAAGGAAAGAATATTTTAATTTTTATAGAAATTTTTTAATAAATATCTTAAAAATATTTAAGGATGTTACTATTAAAAAAACAATAGAAAATTAAAAAATTTAAAGGTTTATAAATATTATTTGGATATAGAAATAAATTAATAAATAATTAGAAATAGATGTTAATATTATAATAATTAGATATGTTTTTTGTATAATCTTATAATAAATAT